GTTTCATGACTCTATGTCAAATCTTTTTTGAGTTACATGCGACACAAGTTGTAAATTGCAAAATTTTACTTAGTCAAGGGCAATAACTCTAAAAATACTAAATAAATCCAGACGAAAATACCCAGGTGCACAACGACACATGCTGAATAACAGTCCTGTAAAGTTTCATGACTCTAGGTCAAATACTTTTTGAGTTACATGCAACACAATTTGAAAATTGCAAAATTTTACGAAGTCAAGGGCAATTACTCTAAACAAGAGGGCCATGATGGCCCTGAGGTCGCTCACCTGTATATAGGCCCCCCCCCCCCCCCCCCCCCCAACGTTTGCAGGGCCAATTTTAACCCAAGGGCTTTTATTTGCACAAACTTGGTAGACACCCATAAGAAGATGTTTCATGCTAAACATCTAAGCTCTAGCTCATTGGGCTTTTTAAAAGAAGATTTTTTTTTAAGTTTTTACTTATAATACACATATAGTTAAAAACAATGACACCCCTGGGGCGGGGCCAGTTTTGACCCCAGGGCTTTTATTTGAACAAACTTTGTAGACACTAACTAGAAGATGTTTCATGCTTAATATCTAAACTCTAGCTATTTGGGTTTTTTCAAAGAAGATTTTAAGTTTTTGCTATACACTTATAAGGAAAATCAATGACCCCCGGAGCGGGGCCAATTTTGACCCCAGGTCTTTTATTTGAACAAACTTGGTAGACACCTATTAGAACATGTTTGATGCTCAATGTCTTAGCCATAGCTCTTTGAGTTCTTTAAAAGAAGATTTTTAAGTTTTTACTATATGCATAAAATTATAGGGAAAATCAATGACCCCAAGGGGCGGGGCCAATTTTGACCCCAGGGCTTTTATTTGAACAAACTTGGTAGAACATGTTTCATGCTAAATATCTTAGCTCTAGCTCTTTGGGTTCTTTAAAAGAAGATTTTTTAAGTTTTTACTATATGCATATAGGGAAAATCAATGACCCCCTGGGGCGGGGCCAATTTTGACCCCAGGGCTTTTATTTGAACAAACTTGGTAGACACTCACTAGAAGATGTTTCATGCCAAATATCTAAGCTCTAGCTCTTATGGTTTTTTAAAAGAAGATATTTAAAGTTTTTTCTTTCGGTTGCCATGGCAACCAGAGTTCTGCATGGAATTAAATTCTTTGAACAATTTTTAAAGGTGACCACCAAAGGAACATTCCTGTGAAGTTTGGATGAAATTGGCTCAGTGGTTTATGAGGAGATGTCATTTAAAGTAAAAGTTTACGGACGGACGACGGCCGGACGCCGGACGAAAAGCGATCACAAAAGCTCACCCTGTCACTTTGTGACAGGTGAGCTAAAAACTAAATAAATCCAGACGAAAATACCCAGGTGCACAACTACACATGTGATCAACATTCTTGTAAAGTTTCATGACTCTAGGTCAAATACTTTTTGAGTTACATGCAACACAAAAGAGAACGAACAGACAGAAGGACGGACGGACAAGGGTAAATCTAAATGCCCGCCACTAAAGTGGGGGCACAAATATAAAAACAATTTCTTTAATCAGTAATTTTTTTATTTTACTAACAATAACAGTGAATATTGTAAGAATATGAATATGTCATGTAAAGTAACATTGTATATATTTCAATGTAATTATCAATATTTAAAACTATCTTATAATGATAATAGTGTTATAAAATAAATAAATACTTAAGAACTAGAAAAATAAAGATAAAAATATAAAATAGTTATTGCCCTTCAACATATCTAGAATTAAATGCCAAACTGTTGAAAATTGTAAATATATAGAGGATATTAAAGTTTTTTTTATAAAGGATTTATTTTCATTGAGTGGTATGAAAATAAATATTTCATGAGTGGCGGTATCCATGAGTGAAATATAATTTTCATTCCACAAGATGAAAATAAATACTGTATTTATAAAAAAAAGGGTCAAAGACAGAAATGGCCGGGTTACATTTGTATACCAAATATCATAAGTCTGTGATGTAATGAAAATTTTCTACCATTCACCATTAATGCCGAAAATTCAACTAAGTTGGTAAACAGGAAGTGGCTCAGTGACAGACCTGAAATCGGAGACCACAGTATGGGACCACGTTTTAATGCTGTATACCAAATATCAAGACGCTGTGATAAGTAGTTGCTGAGAAAACTGTTACGAAAATTTCCTACCATTCACAATTAATGTCGAAAACAAGGAGTGGATATATATATATATAGTCTATAATTAGTACATGTATAAAGTGTAATGGGAATGGCCTTAAGAATTCATTTCTGACTTAGGATATATGCTTTCTGCTATCAAACACATTTTGTGAACATTCAATGAGCCGTACCCCTGTGATTCACCATTAATGTCAAAAACTTTTTAAAGTTTTATTATATGCATATTTCATACAATTCAATACTTGTGATATAAGTACAAGAATATTTTATTTGCTGTGCAATGTAGTATTTTGAAGTCGCAGAATATGTGTACAGCATTGAAAGCGCTAACAACGTAAAAAAAGTGAATAATATCATTCTATTTTCTGCATTTCCCAGAAACTTTTTTTTTATATGCAATTGTATATGATAAATGTGTATATACATAAATATTAACAATAACAAAGAATGGTTTATGATTGTACATAAAGTATTTTACTGACTATCTCTCACTCTTTTATATTGAAGGCAGTTACAACATAAATTTCATCAGGGGAAAATATAATTTGAAAGTTAAAAATACATGTAATAGTACAGTAACTGCTTTCTGTTAAAACCCATCTCAATACAAACAGTGAACATAGCTGCATAATACTGGGCCAGCCAGCAGTGTACAAAGTTGGACAAAAAAAACAAAACAACAACAAACAACCCAAAAAATCCAGTGCATAGTTACAATAACCTGTATCAATATTATGGAAAATCATCTAATTTAGATAAAGGAATTAAGATAAAAATTCATATTTTAAATTTATTCTTCATTGTTTAAATTAAATAACTGAGAATTGAAATAACATTTTTATGGTAACCCACCTTCATTTAGTTATTAAAACTGTTATTCTTATAAAAACATGTTTTCTGTTCTTTATTTTTTCTTTCTGTAGGTTTTACAATTCATATAATATTTTAATTAAATACATGTTTAGTGATAATCAAATTATGCCTATTTTGGCACAATCTATGAACTGAGTCTATAAAGTAACTATACATGTATAAAGTGATAAGTATCCAGAAAAAGTACAATGTTCTGTTAAATTGTTAATTCCTAAACTCTAAAGTGGTGATAAAAACAGTAAATACACTGAACAGTCATATGGCAATAAAAATAAAATATATTCTGACAGCTAGGACAACACTCTGGGACAGAAATGCATCAGAAATGAATATATTTTTCTTTCTTCAGAAAGTTCAAACAATTGTATTTTATAACATTATAGTAATAGATTAAGAACATGTGAAATGATTATCATCTAAAGAAAATAGTGTTGAATGTGAAAACATTTCTGAAAAGGGTAGCAAGATGTGAACATAGTAGTGGTTTGACTTCCATACAAAGTGCATATATCCACTTTAACTGTACTTATCGCCAAAATGCAAAAGGTAGCATAAGGAAGCTCAGATATATGGCCAATGACTAATTTTTTGAAACTGTAACAGCACAATTACAGCATTTAAAATAACAAGCAAAAAAACATCCACCAAATTCTAATGAACTACAATGATTATCTGCTAGTAGTGTTCACATTTACATTTACTTAAATGTTCATAAATTATTTAGTAAAGTGGTCAAATATTATTTACTTAAGTGTTCATAAATTATTTACTTATTAGTGTTCATAAATTATTTACTCAAATATTCATATATTATTTACTCAAAAATTCATATTCTTTAATAAATTGTTCATATAATATTTACTCATGTGTTCACATTATTAATTAAAGTGTTAACCAGCAGATGTACCCATTATTCTTCATGTTGTCTGCATATATGATAACAAATTTAGAAATGCAAGATGGCCACATTATTAACACACCAGTACATGAATATTCAAAATACATAATTATATTGATCACAATTTTAATAAAATTTTCTTATATGCAATGAACTATTTAAAATATTTTTATGATTTTGTTTAAATGATATTAACTTAACATACAATACAAAAAGTATAAAAAAAAATGCAACAAACTGACATTGTAAGTTTTTATCTATATTTTACCCAGTAACTGTAAATATACTATAAATATCAGTCTGTAAAAGTGACAAGTGTGTATAAAAATGAACATGAATATCAATATTTCTTTCAGTTACCCAGTTACAACAACAACAAATTAATTAACATTTCTCAATTTCGAAACAAAAGCATCAATGAAAATATCAAAATGTAAAAATTGGCATGTAAAAAAAAAAAAGAGTATAAAAAGAAATAAACATAAATAAATAATTAAATAAATACAGCTTTTCTAATCCAGATATTTCCATTCTAATCAACTACAACAGAACAACAACAACATTTATTGAGCACTAAACATCTGAAAGGTGCATGTAGCCAATATTTACAAACATATACTTTTTTGATGCGCTGACTAATCAGTGACTACCTGGTACCTTAATTGGTTTGCACTTTTGTGAAGGATGGATTTTAAAGTGGGTTTTGGAAACAATGCACTCTTAAGAATTTTTCTTTTGCTCTTGCAATTTGGAGTATATTCAGTACAATAAATATGCACAGAGGATTATCAGAGTAAAGAATAGACAGATAAATGCTATTTTTTTCAACATGGCCACCTCAGCTCAACAGGAACATGCATTTCAATGACTTTAGTCATGATTAAACCTCCAGTATCATTCTGACTTTAAGCGATTTCAAGTCAAACCATGTGCTATATTAGGTATCACATGATATAAGCAGACCCAGCAAATATCACGAAATGTATGATTGTTCAGCAATTCATACAAATTGAATGTGAATTAGAGATACATGTATAATATAATATTATTTTCCCCCCACTGAGGTAACACCATCTATCTCTCCGACACACTGTTAAAGAATATAGCAAGCTGTGCTAGACTTTTCATTTGCTTTTGTCTTTCCTGGTTCTTTATTTGTGTCATTCCTCTGGAGAGCTTTCAGCGAACTGTTTTTGACCTTGATCCCTTTCCTCATGCTATGTTTTAAAGTTCGCTTCAATATACCATCTGCATCTTTCTTGTCTTCGATCATTTGTAACATCATAATACGGCCATCTTCGCATCCGATTATTACAACTTTCTCGGAAGTTACTGTTATGTTCATTGGAATACTGTGTATTGGAGACATGCCTATCACTTGCTTAGTTTGGACATTTCCAACTTTCACGACACCTGCTCCAACATCTAACCAAAATGCAAAATTTTCATCTGTGGTAAGGAGTGGTCTTGGAACACTTTTCTTCTGCTCGCCTAAATGAGTATCAAACTGACAATGCTTGTCGCCAGTTTTTATGTTAAAAATGTTTCTGTCTCTATCTATACCATAATGCCCTTCCCATCCAATGCTTAGTACACTTACAGGTGACTCCTTAAAAGTTACCATGGTATCACCAGTTTCTATATTTAGAACAGCTGTTTCCCATGATTTATTTCCAGCTTTGTCAGTATTAATGCGCGGCCCAAGGAAACAATCACTTCCAACTGTTAATCGTTGTATATGTTTTGGATGCATATTGTCATAGGTTTGAAATTCATCACCCGTTTTTGTAGAATAAGACCTTGAATAGATTTTCACCCCAGGATGAAGTTGCTCTTCAATGCCAACAATGATGTACTTGTCATTTTCAGCAAAGACAAGTTGCATTAGGTTATACTTGCCGAGCGGGATTTTCACTCCTGTCTGATTTCCTGAAGGAAGTGAATAGAGTTCCATAGAATTTTGACCTGTGTTTTCTGACTCTGTCACTACAACCATGTTTTCAGACTTCATGCCCAGAACAAAGGCTTTCAAATTCAAACTTGAAATTGGAAAAGTGGTGACAAGATTGCCGGACACAGTATCCCAGACTTTGAGACATCTGTCGGAATGATACTCTCTCAGAACTGCATATTTCCCATCCTCTGTGATACATGGTGTCATGGCTTCATAATCTTTTGAGATAAAACAACGCGTTTGACCCAGTGACACATCTACCACAGCAAACTCGGTAGAGTTCATACTACGACATACAGCAGTCGTACCTAATCTATCGGCACACATGTACCTGACTGAGTTGTTTAGTGACAACGGTTGGTAACTTCTTGGTTTATTCTTCAGTGACATGATATCCCAAGCAGTCACATGATTGTTGCGTGTATTGGTGGTTACAATGAGTCCTCCTGCGGGGGAAATGTGTAAACGAGAAATACGGCTTTTTGTGGCTTCAATTGAGTGTAGAATCTTGCCTGTCGCAACACTAAATAGAATAATGTTTTTGTCATATCCTGCGATGATATGTTCTAAATCTGGTGTGAGCACTGTGTGAAACTCAAGAACACGATAATTAGGGTCGTAAGATTCCGGTATTCTTACCTCTTTTGTAACCTTTTTTGATTTCAAATCATATAAAACAAAACTGTAAATTCCAGTGATTAAACAAAGATCATCAACCAGTTGGACCCGCTGGATTGTCAAATCTTTGACTTTATTTAAGTCTATTGTCCCAGCAATTTGCCCAACATTGGGACCCTGTTGTAGATTTACCAGATCAACCTTATTTGCTTTTTCCAATACAATGCAACCAAAGTCTCGTTGTGCATTCATAAAAATTGCTTTTGGTGTCTCCTTGCATGAAATTTGGTAAACAAATTCAAATGTGTCCATTCTATAGATTGTGTACATGTTCGTCTGCTTTGGGTGGAAAAGTATCATTTTATCCTCAGCAATTAGGATCGCTTCATCTGGATTTACATCAAACTCATGTAGAAGCTTGCCTGACTGTCGATCAAAAACATCAGCAGATTGTTTTAAAACAGTGACAAGCAGACGGTCGGATGTGATATCAAATTTGAGATCATCAAAAAATGCAATTTTTGAATACTTCTTTTCTAGCTCTATTTTTTCCTCTAGAGCACAATTCTTGAAGTTCACAATATAAACTGGGTTTGTTTTTATTTGGTTTATTGTTCCAATAATCAAAACATCTTTGCCAAAGGATTTTGACATTACATTTAAGATCCCGTCCTCTTTCTTCCTTAACTCAATAACTGCATCCAGTTCTCCGTTGTTCACATCCCAAATCAGAACTTCATTATCGGCAGATAAAGTTGCAAAATGTGTAGAATCACTTGATATCTCTGATATTTTGGGATTTATCGGTAATTTTGCATTTTCTATGGTGTACATTTCAGATTCACTTGGAATACCAAAGCAAGGCTGATAAGGAACAAGTCTACATTTTTGTGCACATGCCGTTAAGGAATTCTCCAATAACTTCATTTCATCAACTCTAACATTGCCAGGTAGCAGGGCCAGAAGTCTTCCAGAAATTTCCATTGCAAGAGTTTCTGGAAACTTTCTCAATGTCTGCTGGGATGCTTTCAAAGCCTTATGAAGAATACCCTCCTTTTCACCACACAGCGCTAAATCTAGCAATACTTCCTGCAAGGAAATTGCCTTAAGCTTTATCTCATTCCATTCGAAATTAAGCAAACAAAGGGACCTCAACTCTTGGTGTCGATTTGCTTCAAACAGATGGTATGGAAGCTTATTTAACTTTCTTTTGTTGTACCGAACATTCTTTCCATCGGAATCAGCACTATATATCATCGGCTGAGCAGATATCCTACGATCAGCTTTACCTTCAGGAGATGTTACACCAACTCGCTTCATTTGCTCTGGAGTATACCGAAATGGTTTCTCTACCCCAACCCACTTACCAAGGTAGTAGTCTGCCATAAGTGAATGAATTTCCTCCTTTAATTTCTCATCTGACAAATATCGTCTCTCAGCCGTTTCGAAGAACTGCCGATGGTACCAGAAGAAAGAACGGACTTCATCAACTTCTTTGTCCACAAGATACTGGGAAATATCATGACGTATACGAACCCAAAGTAATGGCGGAATTCTGCGTAATGGAGGGACGTGTATCTGAAAGACATTTGTCAGGACATCATCATCCAATGAGAGAAGGTCTTCCAACTCCGTCTCACTGATTCCCGTCATAGACGCAGTGACATATGCTAAAGCTCTTGTCACTAAAACATTACCATGCTTTTTCTCTAACTGTGAAAACAATGTATTAATGCTATCCTGCACGGTGTTCATCAGCATACATTTATCTAAGATATAATAAGAACGCCATACTAAAACCTGATCAAAAGTGAGTTTCACAAACAGAGGTAGTGTACACTTAATAAATACATTTTCAACCAATGAAAATTGCTCGTCAGACAGAGTTCTGTTACTTTTCTTGAGCCATGCTTTCAAAACCTGAGTGCTGAGCTCCTGCGAGAAAACCGGAACATGAATAAATGATTGTTTCAAATAAATGTTCTTCAATGTTCCTAACAAGTCTGAAGCTTCTGTGTATGTAGAAACGAAAAACTTTACAAATGGAGGTAGTTTCCGTGGCAACCAATGTAGTTTGTAAGCATTATGGTCCCTTGCTAGCTGATCTAATGAATCCAGAATTATAACAAGAGGTTTTTCTTTTGTCCCTAGTTTGAGCAATTCTGAGAAAAAGTCTTTCAGCTCTTCAAAGTCTTCTGGAACCTACAGATAAAAAAAGTTAACAATTCATACTCAATAATAAGTAAACTGGGTGAAACTTGAGCTCCTAGACAAATAATGAAATCTTTTAAATTATACTAAATACTGTCAGTTTGCTAGTTTTCAGCTTCTCTGGCATAAGAAGACATATTGAACTCCTCTTGTGCCCTATTTTAAGCATAATTGGTCACCAGAGTAGAACCATCCATCTTACGTAACCTAACTGGATAGCTTAATCATATGAAATAATTCTAAAACCCTCATGAAATTCAAACCCACAGCAGAGTCAGAAGCAAGTGGAATAAAGTCAGTGACCGTTACCACTTGAGCTGAGGACAAAGTTCAAACACTTGACCATGAAGGTCTTCAGAAATATTTTACAATAAAACTGAAATCATTATCATCTGTCATAAAAAAGCCAAAATCATCAAATATGCACCAAGCAGACTTACCGAAGTCCTCTCCTTTCCATAGCAGACGACAATTTGTTCGCACAGACTGTGTAGTAATCGTCTCAAATTACTGCTATCTGGCGAGGTGCCAAGAAATCTTAACACAACCACTGCATTTTGTAGAAATGAAGGAACCTGTTTTTAAGGAAATAGTCATTTTTAAGGATTTTTTAAAAGATAACATAAGAAGTACTAAAATCTAGTATCTACTCAAAAATTATGAGTTTTAGGCAATAAACTGCAATCATAATAGTAATAACATGACTGTAATTATGCTGCACATGTAAACCATCATGCATGCAGTTGTTGTTGAGATATGAAGATGCATGCAAACCCTTGAACAGAGGGTTCAACTGTGTAAACCCCACAGTCAAAAGGACAACAAACCAATTCTTTTAATTGTATGGTTGACCATTAAACTTTAAAGAATACCAATTACTTTAAATGTATTTGAAAAATATCCAGAACCATATATTCATATATCAATATAAAAGACTGTCAAGATCAGACTCAAAATTTATACTAGTATTTAAAATGTTTAATGTAATTTCTTTGAAAAAAAATGAAAACAAACTCTGAATCACTTGATACTAATCGATTTTAATCCTTTGTTAAAAAAAGGCCCTTCTTCTCAATTGTGCATAATGTCATTAATGTCATTTAGTTTAAACTCAAAGCTTTCTTTATACATTGTAATTTACAAGAAGGAAAAAATATCATTTCTATTTGTGCTTTATAAAGAAAATTGGAAAAAAGCATACCATATGAGCAGTTTGTGCCATAATGGAGGTTTTACCACAACCAGACTGGCCATATAAAATGACTGGATCTTCACACTGTTCACTCAGGTAGCACTTTATATCCAAGAGAATATTCTCTCTACCATAAAACATTGAACACCTTTCCCTGGCCATATTTAAATGCTGCAGAACCTAAAGTCAAGATAAAAACACAACCTATATATAACTACTGCAAAGCTTAATTTTAAGGTGAATCATGGCAAAATTCAATTGTTTCATAATTTAGAAAGGTTCTATTTAATGACGCATTACCTATATTCAGAATAAGATTACTGGTATATACAAATGATGTAGACTCATATCTAAAACAAAAACTCTGGTCATATTTAAATACTAGTACACTAGAATCTAGGGAGTATTAGATTTTATGGCAATTTAAAATACCAAAAGATGTCAGTAGAACAGAGTCTGGATCATGTAAAATTGTCTAAAAGGGCCATAATTCAAACAAAATCCATGTAAGACTTGTGTGCATTGGACAGTAATCTCCTACTATGCTTTAAAATCAGTGTGTGAAGTTTCAACCCTTTCCCTTCAAATGTTTTGGATATATCAACTTGCCTGCAATACAATTATGAAATTGACTCTTAAAATCTTTAAAGTAAATTCAATCTCTATCAACTGTGTGTTAGGCAAAACAGTTCTTTGACTCCAAGGTCTAGAGTGTTGTATGAATTTGTTTAAAATAATAGTAAGACTGCGGTCCTAAGTTTGAATCCAACATAGAGCAGGGTATTTTCCTGATCATCTGCATTTTAATGTTACACTTTCAAAATCTTCTTAAGAGCATCTATACAGTCTAAGAATAATTTATACAGTTCAAAATACTAAAAGAGTATAACTGTACTAATTACCAAAACACAACAACAGGAAAATATTGTTCAGTTAATTGGCCAGTGAGTAACTTTTTAGAAACTATTAAAAGGAGACCAAAAATAAAGAGTTTTTGGTAACTAATGATAAATTATTTCTGAGGCATAATGGGCCCTTAAAATAAAAAAGTTTGGTTTTAAATCATAGAAAACCAAGTCCATTATAGGTGTATAACTGTAGTTATAATATTGCACGTTTGTAACGGTCGCTTTTTATTGGATAATCTTGACGTTTATGTAACTTTATATACATGGCTTCTGACACAGACAGTTTATTTAGAAATCACATTTTTTCCCTTAAAAAAAGAAGTTGCTGTATTATAAATTTGTCATAAAGATTCCTGATACGTTATATGGCCGTATATAGATGATTGTTCACAATATAACCTTCACCTAGCGGCTCGGGTTATATATACAAACAACCATTTATATAGGGCCATATAATCTGTCAAGAATCTTTATAACTAATATTGTGTAAGACTGTAAATATCTAACAGTAAAAACTCACCTCAATATACAGTTCATCCATTATTAGTGAACGTTGTTGCTTTACTGCTTTGTCTATTTTATCTACCATGCTGTTAAAGAATGAATCTTTAAATGTGCTGAGATAACTGTCATGGTCTTGACGATTTATTCCGTCCTTCTCACTCCACTGTACAGTGTGCCTGAAATATAACATCAATGTATTAATTTTTCAGTGAATAACTGGGAAAAATTGGCTGCTCCTTGCAGGAAAAAAACAACAGGCAGGTACTTATACAAAACTGAATTCTGGAACACTGAAACATTTGTTACATAACTTCCTGGTGGTATATCACCCTTCTAGAAAGCAGGACCTGGATTACAGATTACACTACAATTAATACTTTTCTGCTTTTTAAAAAAAATAGGCACAATCTGACACTTTTGTTACTTGTCAGTCATAATTGTCTTATTTCTAAATAAACATAGGTCATATTTGATTGAGTTTATTTTCTTCAAAGATGTAGACTTGAATGAATTTTTATTATAAATTAATAACTGTAAAATCAATATATCATCATGTATATAATAAAATGATGTAAAAATATCTGGAAATTGGTGGCAATATGGCATCCCAATCTCCTGTTCAAGTGAAAATTTGTTCACGTCATTTTTACACTTATTTTAAGAAATTTTTGGTCATCATGTCTTTCGTCTGTGTTGCTGTCCTTGATAACTTACTGATGACACCAATTTCTCAGCAATTGAAAGACAACTAATTCCCTATGAAGAAAGAATCAATTATGACATAAATGTATTTCTGTATTAGTATCAAGAACTTGCACTTAAATTTTTCACCACATTAATTACATGTATAAGCATGTGACAATGCTTAGAAATTTGTATAGATGACCACCCTTGCCACCATTTTGGGGGTCATTCCCAATATATTATATGCCTTATATAAGATAAGATCTCTCACAATTCCATGATCTTCATGAAAGCTGTATGTACATCTTACAAAGGTACATACAAAGAGAAAGATTTTTATTATTACAGCTGTACCTACTTTTGGCTCACAAAACATATCTTTGACTACTTTTCCATGGAAATTGCATGGAGGTAAATTATCACCATTTTGTGCTTTGAAATTAACTCTTTACGGGCATTACTGGTGACATGTCCAGGGTCCCTACTCAACAGCGAAAGGTCCTTTTGTGCCCTTCAAGAAAGGATGAACCCTGATTAAACACAGACTACACACACAAGTTACACATACCTGCTAATATTTGTATTTTGTAACTTCTCTACGATCTTTTCATCCCTCAATTTAGACAGTATGGTCTGAGCCTCAGTGTCGAGGGATTTGGAGTCACTCGACAGTACATCGATGAAGCGCCAAGCTTTGTCGTGATCCAGATGAGAGGTAATGTCTTTAATGATACGTACAAAACACAAACAGTGATCTGCTGCACTGTCTGGTAATTTCAATATCCCATTAAAGATTTCTGCTTCTGTAACTGTAATATAATTATTGTATAAATTGAAGAAATAAAAAATTAATATTGATTTACACATACCTATATGTATTTAATTAAATTATATACATGTAAATATGTACACAACAATGCAGACAAAGAATTGAACCAGAAACTGTGTAGCTCATGTTAGTCCTTTTCTTTCTGAGAAATATTAATATTAATCATACATATATTAATTTCATCAAGTAAATTTCTATGTTTATTTCTTAACTGTATTTAATCTTCAACAGAAACAAAGTTTCAAACTATTCTAAAATTCTGGCAATCAAAATTTGAAGTCTTCTTTCATTTTCTTCCTTGCTTGTAAACTTTCAAGTCACACCCACAATGTAAAGTCTTATCATTCAATGGTGAAGACCTCAAAAACCCTTCTGTGTATTATTTTAGGCAAGAACATGGTCCAAGGTTATAAAGAAATTATCTAAGCTCAAACTCAGATCTCTGGTATTTGATTGGTCAGAAACTGCCACAGAATGAACACAGACCAATGAAAATTAAACTGAGTCTGCAATTTACCCTCTATATATTCTCTAGGAAACTATTCCCTTTAAAAGAATTTTTACAATCAAAACACATAATAAAGTAACCAACAAAAGAAAAGTTACCTGACATGTAGTATTTGTGTCTATCCACCTCTGATATCAGATTCTTCTGGAAACATGCATCGCTTGCAAACTTGAACTCAGCTCTAAGCTTGTCATAAACATCATTCCATTGTGCCTTTGCTTCTTTATTATCCTGAAAGATGTTTTCTATACTTTTAATCATCACAAAATTTCTCAATTGGACTCATACATATTTCAATCTGGACAAAACCATTCAACATTAAAAAAAAAAAATATGTCCTGACAGAATAAAGGGAAGTGCAGACCATGATCAAACAGCAAGGATGTGCCGGCTGATCTTGATCTGCATTGGTTGCATACACAGCATGGGTTACAAATCTGTCACCGACAGTATGTTTAAGGTTAAAGAGTGTAAATCTTTAATTGACCAATCACACTTAATATACAGTAGAACTTCAGTAAGTCAAAGTTGAAAGGACTTGTGTAAAAACTTTCACACATCAGGACTTCGACTCATAAATCGATCTCAATTTAATGACAAAATTTCGAGCATTCGATGTTTTCAAGCCAGTTACAAAAGGCGTAGCATAATGATAGGAAAGAAAAAGTGTGAACAATTCGGTTTGTAGAGCTGTAGAAAGGTATTCCAAAGGTCTGGGGGTTGCATCAAAGTAATTTTACTGCCTATTTTTCTCACTCTGTGGCACATTTATATATAAATTACTTGGTACCTTGTCTTTATAACCAGGTATGATGGAACTGATAGGCTGTAGGACATATATCGGAGGTAGCTGATTTGTATCTTTCTTATACCATAATGTAAAAAGACTTGTGTCATGACCATTCTCCTGAAACACAAATTAAAAATCTAAAATATTAACTCCACTTATTATAATATTTAGGAGACAGACAAATCTATATTTTTTATCACATACAGGTGCCACTTTTGCAACTCAAACTGTATTGCACGGCCTTGCATATGTCATTTGCATTATACAAACATAGAGTAAAGATGCGTCAAATGTTACTGTTACACTATTAGCGTGTCAATGAAAAATGTTTCTTTATCACTTTAAACAGTATTTATTTTGAGTACATAATAAACAGAAAATTATACTTGTGTAGATTCATTACTGAATTTATTGAACTTGTTGAATACAATAATATTATGCTCACCAGAGGCTCGCATAATACAAATTTATTCAACTCGTTCAATAAATACCGAATTGAACTTACACTCATTCAACATCCTCTATATATTTTATGTTGAGTTGACTATATAAGACTGTATATATGATGTTCAGTCTTTTATAATATGAATATTTTTAGGTCAATTTCCCTAAATTTCCCTAAATAGTAAATACAAAGAATAGAAAATTTGAAATATCATTTGGCAACCGCCACCATAGGAATTCCTTGTTGGTAAAATTTTTAATGTTCTCATAGTAGTGTAAATTTAATATACATGTATTTTGGTTTTTTATCTGTTTTTGTCGCATTTCTTCAATTTTTTAAATGGAGATGAAAATGCTATGCTAAATAGACATGTTTTCGGATATCGACGGAAGCCGCGAGCGTTGCTTCCATCCGTCTTAATTATTCCACGAGAATACGAGAAACCCCGAGAATACGAGAAACATTTTCATTTCTATAAAAACTGAAAATTAATTAAATTTTATTAAAATTATCTCATATAAATATCTTTATAGGTAACACATAATCAAGATTTTAATCTTAGTCAGATTGAAATTATCTTAAATATATTATTGAAATATTTTTTCTGACCTCTAAGCTTTTGTACAAATTGTCAAACTCAGCCTCTGGAATAGTAACTTGCAGTGGTCTGTATCCATGCTTCTGGTTTAGGAATGTCTGCAAAAGAGAAAATTAATAAATGTAAATATACGATAGCACATTTTATGGGAGTCCATAGAAGGGGTCCCATATCTGAATATAATTTTAGCAACAGAAATAAATTCTACATAGCTTCTATTTCAAGGTCAGTCATCTTAGAGATAAACTGTAGAGCTTGTAAACTGGGCATTTTGAATAGACAGGTGCCTAAAACTATATAGAAGATCAAATTTTATGTACATAAAAGTGAGCAAATTACAATAAATGAATGGAAATTCTAAAATGGTTGGCGAGTTTGGACAAAACATGCGGCAGGGAAACAGAAAGCCTGTGTAAGGTACAACCCTGGTAGGCAATTTTAAACAATCAACTCATACAATAAATTGCACACTGAAGTAACAACAACAGATCCCAGGAAAATTTTCAGGAGAGAGCAAGTAGCTAATATTTACATCTAAAACCTGCAAAGAGGACCTTCACTTAAACACTAGAACCAGACATTTTTCAGGATGCGAATACATTTGTACTTCCCTTCTATTGTCATTGTATAAAATGTATTATCACTTGTCCATGAGCTGTCTGTAAGAAGGTGTGTTATACTTATGCTCAGTGCTTGATAGCAAAAAATGGGGAACAACTCTGTATAAAAAATAACTCAGAGTTATGGACCTGTACGCATCATGTTAGATAATCACAAAGAAGAAGTGATGTTTCAACCCTATCCCTTCAGTAGTTATGGAGATACTAGCTTGTATGCGAAAACTGAACCTAAATGTGATACCAACACCAATGCCAGAGTGAGTAAAAAAAAAGTGAGGTTTATTAAATCACAGCAAAAATACCATGAAAATTATATACCACAAAATTTGGTCCTGTTGACAATCTTTGACAGTTACGTATTTCCTGCAGGCAGAGTTCCGTAGCTTGGTGGTCATCTGCTGACTCTACCGGAACTCCCCATCTCATATCCACCAACTGTGAAGTAAAGACAAAGTTACTTTAGAACTGTCAATCATTTATTGTTTTAATGGTTTTTAATAATGAAAGAAACCTTTAATTATGTGCAAACAATCAGGGTGTCCTGACATTAAACTGGTGGCACAAAGCAAGTGAATTATACCACCTTAGTGCAGTAATGGGCTAACCCATTTGTGCACAATGGTGATGATTATTATAGCCATTTTATGAATGTAATATTGATGAAATAAAATGAGTATTTTCATTTTCTGTATTTCACTGTAAAAATTTATTTTTACTGGTGTCTTGTCACACTACTTTCTTCTTAATTTAGCCAATATACAAAATCAAAGCAGAAGTCTGAAGAATTTTAAGGTCAAGAAAAATTATTTTGGCTTCAAAATTTTACAACTACCAGCAGTGATAGTATAATCATTAATCAGAGGTCTATGCCTCCAGTATAAATACAGGCAAACCCCGACTTTTAAGGCATCTGATCACATAATATCTAGTAACAACTACTGCAAGTATATTCTATAAATCTACAAAAACAAAATCTGACAGATCCAAATTCAAACACAACAACACAAAACAGTAAAGCTTGAGAAACATAATTTTTCTCATCGTTTATTTCCCATAAAGGAATTCATACTTTATGTCATACTTTATGTTTGTTTTAAAATGCTAACCCAAAGCATACTCGATCAGAATGTTATGGACTAGAATAGATAGTTAATGCACCCTTTTCCGTGCAGTAATTTCTGCAGAAGCACAAGGACGCATTTAAAGCCTGAGCCCACAGACTAACATACACTAAATGCTTACACAGTTTTTTATGCATAAGAATAAAGGTAAAGCATAAATATATTACCTGAAAGTCCATTCCATACTCTTTCTTACAGTGTAATTTCAACTTTGGGTATACATCCTCTAGCAAAACATTCCTCTCCTCTCTTGTATCTAAAATTAGTAACATGTTACTTAAAGGAATAGCAAGATTAATTTTGTTGCAAGAAAAAAAAATCACATATCTTATAAGTCATCCCTTGCAATACCATGTGCAATGTAACAATTTCTTTGCATCTTTTATTTTACAATGGTTTAAATTTAAAAAGAAACAAATAAAAAAAATGTAATACTTTTAGAGATTCAGAAATCCTTAAAATACAGGTTATTGTATTATCATTTTTACAAAATAAGCAAAAATAGCTGGAGTAAAACGCAGCAGAAATATTGTGATAAATACAGTGAAATCAGTAATCAATTGTAAATTTTTACTTAAGTTCTATTAAATCTTGTTACTTTTCTTCAAAGCTTAATAAGACCATTTTTCTCAAGTTTAATTTTCTTGAAATATTTTGGCTCGGCTGGAGGCATAAAGTTTTAAATGTCACTTCTTATTACACCAGAGTTACATGTATATAACATAATGAAATGTCTTTATTATTGAGATAATAATTTTATGCATATTAATTTTCATCTTTATTGTTCCATAACATTTTATTAAAAGACGGGTAAACAGATAAGAAAGTAAGTACTTCAAAACTTAATTAACTTAATTCTTAATCTTTATAAATTTATTAAAAAAAATGTCTCAATATATTAAATTTTGCAGTCTTTACTGTTTATATCAAATCATTAACTTTTTTATAAACCCGTTACTTCATATTTATAAACACCTTTTCCCACCAAACATTCAAGTCATTATTACCTGTGAAAGTTGAGCTGATAAAAATCCTTACTAATCTAGAGTTGAGTGTTGGTAGGTTGTCAAGGCAGCCATGTAACACTGCTTTGTAGCTGGCATCACTCATTTTCTACCTTTATTGGTGTAACCTATTGCAGAAAAATGGGTGGACCATTACATCATCCAAGCCTGTTGAATAAATCAGAGTCACATATAATATTCTAAACAAAAAGTCATTTGAAATATAGTTAAATTATTCCAGGAACATTTTCTATATGTGAAAAAAAACAACAACAACAAAACATGATGAATGCACATAAATACAAATTATATTTATCTTACTAATGAATTCTTACAATATGAAATTAAAATAATAAAATTAACAAATAAATTTGACAACCCACAAATAATCTGGAACTTGCACTTTGTAGTTGTAGACTTAATTGATTTATCATCTATGAAGTAAACTAGCTAATTCACAGATGTAAAATCTTTATTTTTTAATACAGTCAAAATGCTTCAAAGTTTTAATATCACTAGATGCAATGACTGGCTTGAATTTCATTGCAAAAATTGCAATTATGCAAAATATAAAAAGACACATTGTTAGCATAGGCTAGATAAACAATTTTTTTAGCATGAATTTGAACTAAATTTCTGGATTAATGTCTAAGTAGAAGATCAAATTGCAAAGAAGAATAATGAAGACTTTCTTAAGAAATAATCCTAATGAAGATGTTCTGAAGAAAATAAACATTTGTTGTCTATCTAGTGTCAAGCTAGTTCAATGAAGACAGTAGACGTTACGGGCTCGTTATAGTTTGATAATGGTCAAGCCAAAAAGTAAAAATATTTCAAACAAACGTCATATTTATAGGACTAGTCGAACACCTGTGTAGTTACATGTAGGCTATGTATGTATACATGTTCATCTGTTCATGCACTGTCAAACATTGGTGGATATAGAAGTGTTCACATATATAGGAGGCCTGCTGATTCTCTACCACAGGCGCTAGTCACATAATCAAATATTTTACATAATCGGTCTATATATGTATATAAAGATATATCTTTATATACATGTATATACTATAGACCGATTATGTAAAATATTTGATTATGTGACTAGCGCCTGTGTTCTCTACTGTACTGTACTCTAGAGAATTGTAAACAAAGAAAAAGAGATAAATTTCGCAATACAGAACAAAAATCTATTAATCTTACCTGGTACATCATTTATGTTGTTTACACAGTTTCCATTGTGATCAAGCATCTGTATGATTCAGATGAAATTCGAGTTACGCCCCTTACCAAGGTTAAAATCGAGGACGAGGTGAATTTCTCTGTATAAATTGATGATTTCAAAAATCAGAATTAAATAATTTTTAATCTGTCAATGGAGTTACTAATTAGGAGTAATTTGTATTCAGAATCAAATGAAATTAAAGGATTTCAGTATTTTTCTGCCGTTTAACCTCCAAACTTTACAAAAATAGTATACTTTTCGGATGAATAAATAATTCGGATTAAACCAATGAAAAGCATATTTGCTGCTTCTATAGGGCCCGCATAAAGGCAGTATCGAGTTCAATGCAGTCGTCACCGATATCGTTCTCATTGAAACAAATAATGAGGCAGAATTATTCACTGACATTGAGAAATTTGTCCAGGACAAGAACATGTTCAGCACCAACTACCTTAGAAAATATTTTTAGTGATTGCAATAGAGAAAATGTAGTTGCTAAAATGAAGAATGCTAAACCTATTGCAAGATTCGAAAAAGACATGAAAAAGGGTCGTGAAGCAGCGATACTTGTACCTATGTGTCATATAGAAGGAGAGCCAGCTTTATTGTTTATGATGCGGTCTAGATACTTGAAAAATCACAGGGGTGAAATAAGGTATACTATTAACTTGTTAAAGAACTGTCACATTTACACATTATTTGAAAAAGCGGACTGGTGTTAAACATTTATTTTTATCTATACTGCCAAGTACATACAAATGCCAGTAAAAATTGTAGTATGTGGCATTGCAATATTATATTGTTTGATTGACATACATTTATGTACATATGTATATTAAACAGTGTTAATACTAAAACAGCATTTATTCAAACAGATTTATTTTCTTAATTGCTGACAAACAATCACAAACCTAACCTATGTTTAAAAGAATACCATCTGGCCTAATACAGTTTAACAATTATTATATTTTTTGTCAACAATTTCAATTGATACAGAATACAAGATACATATGTATAATACATTTTATGAATTGAAAAAGAATTTATTCACCAATTTCAGTGCTCTTTTAATACTCCTATAATTGTCATATCTTAAACATATATATTTAATATCCCCTATGCATTTCTTTTCTTTAATCAATTATGATATATTACTATAATTGCAGTTTTCCAGGTGGTATGAAGGACCCTGGTGATAGAGATCTCATTCATACAGCATTAAGAGAAACATTTGAGGAAATTGGTCTATCAGAAGATTGTGTGGATGTTTGGGGAACGCTTCCTGCCTCACCTTCTAGGGTACAACTTGGTAGAAAAGTACACTGCTTTCAAATAGGTTTATTCATAACATGTAGAAAAGAACACTGCTACAATCAGACTGTTTTCATAGAACATAAAATTATGTCTTCATTATTTCTCTAACCAGAACCATTTTTTTTTTTAACTGACACTTTGAAGTTGCTAGGTTCAACTAGCCTAGGATTCAGGTGTTGATATTTTTTGCTTATTCATAATATATGAGCTATTTCGTACTCAAATGTGTTTTTTAATAGTATAGACTACACTAAGGCAGACTAAGCTTCAACTTCTTGTCCATACAAAATAAGATTTCTTTATAAAAGAATTTGGTAGAAACATCAACATCTTGTTACAAATCCTCCCAAATACTCTTTTAAGAAATCTTATTTTGTATGGAAAAGAAAGTGAATCTTAGCCTGGCATATATGATAGTCTGGAGAGATGTACTGCTTCTGCAACAAATAATTTAGAGAGGTGTATTTCAATTGCCTTTAATTATTCTTGGAGGCTTCAAGCTTCTGCCATAAATTCTTATGAAAGGCTTCATGATTCTGCCTTAAATTATTGAGAAGTTTCAAGCTTCTACCTTAGATTATTCTGAGAGGCTTCATGCTCCTGTCCTAAATTATTCTGAGAGGTTTCATGCTTCAGTCTTAAATTATTCTGAGAGGTTTCATGCTCCTGTCCTAAACTATTCCGAGAAGCTTCATGCTTCAGTCTTAAATTATTCTGAGAGGCTTCATGCTTCAGTCTTAAATTATTCTGAGAGGCTTCATGCTCCTGTCCTAAATTATTCTGATGCTTCAGTCTTAAATTATTCTAAGAGGCTTCATGCTTCAGTCTTTAATTATTCTGAGAGGCTTCATGCTTCAGTCTTAAATTATTCTGAGAGGCTTCATGCTCTTGTCCTAAATTATTCCGAGAGGCTTCATGCTTCAGTCTTAAATAATTCTGAGAGGCTTCAGTCTTTAATTATTCTGAGAGGCTTCATGCTCCTGTCCTAAATTATTCTGAGAGGCTTCATGATTCAGTCTTGAATTATTCTGAGAGGTTTCATGCTTCAGTCCTAAATTATTCTAAGAAGCTTCATGCTTCAGTCTTAAATTATTCTGAGAGGTTTCATGCTTCAGTCCTAAATTATTCTGAGAGGTTTCATGCTTCAGTCTTAAATTATTCTGAGAAGCTTCATGCTTCAGTCTTAAATTATTCTGAGAGGTTTCATGCTTCAGTCTTAAATTATTCTGAGAGCTTCATGCTTCAGTCCTAAATTATTCTGAGAGGCTTCATGCTTCAGTCCTAAAATTATTCTGAGAAGTTTCATGCTTCAGTCCTAAATTATTCTGAGAGGCTTCATGCTTCAGTCTTGAATTATTCTGAGAGGCTTCATGCTTTAGTCTTAAATTATTCTGAGAGGCTTCATGCTTCAGTCCTAAATTATTCTGAGAGGCTTCATGCTTCAGTCTAAATTATTCTGAGAGGCTTCATGCTTCAGTCTTAAATTATTCTGAGAAGTTTCATGCTTCAGTCTTAAATTATTCTGAGAAGTTTCATGCTTCAGTCTTGAATTATTCTGAGAGGCTTCATGTTTCAGTCTTAAAATTATTCTGAGAAGTTTCATGCTTCAGTCTTAAATTATTCTGAGAAGCTTCATGCTTCAGTCTTGAATTATTCTGAGAGGCTTCATGCTTCAGTCTTGAATTATTCTGAGAAGCTTCATGCTTCAGTCTTGAATTATTCTGAGAAGCTTCATGCTTCAGTCTTAAATTATTCTGAGAAGCTTCATGCTTCAGTCTTAAATTATTCTGAGAAGTTTCATGCTTCAGTCTTAAATTATTCTGAGAAGCTTCATGCTTCAGTTCTTAAATTATTCTGAGAAGTTTCATGCTTCAGTCTTAAAATTATTCTGAGAGGCTTCAGCTTCAGTCTTAAAATTATTCTGAGAAAGCTTCATGCTTCAGTCTTAAATTATTTTGAGAAGCTTCATGCTTCAGTCTTAAATTATTCTGAGAAGCTTCATGCTTCAGTCTTGAATTATTCTGAGAAGCTTCATGCTTCAGTCTTAAATTATTCTGAGAAGCTTCATGCTTCAGTCCTAAATTATTCTGAGAGGCTTCATGCTTCAGTCCTAAATTATTCTGAGAAGTTTCATGCTTCAGTCTTAAATTATTCTGAGAAGCTTCATGCTTCAGTCTTGAATTATTCTGAGAAGTTTCATGCTTCAGTCTTGAATTACTCTGAGAAGCTTCATGCTTCAGTCTTAAATTATTCTGAGAAGTTTCATGCTTCAGTCTTAAATTATTCTGAGAAGCTTCATGCTTCAGTCTTAAATTATTCTGAGAAGTTTCATGCTTCAGTCTTAAATTATTCTGAGAGGCTTCATGCTTCAGTCTTGAATTATTCTGAGAGAGGCTTCATGCTTCAGTCTTAAATTATTCTGAGAAGTTTCATGCTTCAGTCTTAAATTATTCTGAGAAGCTTCATGCTCCTGTCCTAAATTATTCTGAGAAGTTTCATGCTTCAGTCTTAAATTATTCTGAGAGGCTTCATGCTTCAGTCTTGAATTATTCTGAGAGGCTTCATGCTCCTGTCCTAAATTATTCTGAGAAGCTTCATGCTTCAGTCTTAAATTATTCTGAGAAGCTTCATGCTTCAGTCTTAAATTATCTGAGAGGCTTCATGCTTCAGTCTTGAATTATTCTGAGAGGCTTCATGCTTCAGCCTTAAATTATTCTGAGAGGCTTCATGCTTCAGTCTTGAATTATTCTGAGAAGTTTCATGCTTCAGTTTTAAATTATTCTGAGAAGCGTCATGCTTCAGTCTTAAATTATTCTGAGAAGCGTCATGCTTCAGTCTTAAATAATTCTGAGAGGCTTCATGCTTCAGTGGCTTGAATTATTCTGAGAGGCTTCATGCTTCAGTCTTAGATATTCTGAGAGGCTTCATGGCTTCAGTCTTTAAATTATTTTCTGAGAAGCTTCATGCTTCAGTCTTGAATTACTTCTGAGAGGCTTCATGCTTCAGTCCTAAATTATATTCTGAGAAGTTTCATGCTTCAGTCTTAAATTTTTCTGCGAGGCTTGTGTCATGCTTCAGTCTTGAATTATTCTGAGAAGCTTTCATGCTTGCAGTCTTGAATTTATTCTGAAGGCTTCATGCTTCAGTCCTTAAATTATTCTGATAAGTTTCATGCTTCAGTCTTAAAAAGTTATTCTGAGAAGTTTCATGCTTCAGTCTTAAATTTTTCTGAGAGGCTTCATGCTTCAGTCTTGAATTATTTTCTGAGAGGCTTCATGCTTCAGTTCCTAAATTATTCTGAGAAGTTTCATGCTTCAGTCTTAAATTATTCTGAGAGGCTTCATGCTTCAGTCTTGAATTATTCTGAGAAGCTTCATGCTTTTCAGTCTTGAATTATTCTGAGAGGCTTCATGCTTCAGTCTTAAATTATTCTGAAGGAAGCTTCATGCTTCAGTCTTGAATTATTCTGAGGGGCTTCATGCTTCAGTCCTAAATTATTCTGAGAAGTTTCATGCTTCAGTCCTAAATTATTCTGAGAGGCTTCATGCTCCTGTCCTAAAACTATTTCTGAGAAACTTCATGCTTCAGTCTTAAATTATTCTGGAGAGGCTTCATGCTTCAGTCCTTAAATTATTTCTGAGAAGTTTCATGCTTCAGTTCTTAAATTATGCTGAGAAGCTTTCATGCTTCAGTCTTGAATTATTCTGAGAAGCTTCATGCTTCAGTCCTAAATTATTCTGAGAGGCTTCATGCTTCAGTTCTTAAAATTATTCTGAGAAGTTTCATGCTTCAGTCTTTAAATTATTCTGAGAGGCTTCATGCTTCAGTCTTGAATTATTCTGAGAGGCTTCATGCTTCAGTCTTAAATTATTCTGAGAAGCTTCATGCTTCAGTCCTAAAATTATTCTTGAGAGGCTTCATGCTTTCAGTCTTAAATTATTCTGAGAGGCTTCATGCTCTTGTTCCTAAATTATTCTGAGAAGCTTCATGCTTTCAGTCCTAAATTATTCTGAGAGGCTTCATTGCTTCAGTCTTAAATTATTTTGAGAGGCTTCATGCTCTTGTCCTAAATTATTCCGAGAAGCTTCATGCTTCAGTCCTAAATTATTCTGAGAAGTTTCATGCTTCAGTCTTAACTTATTCTGAGAGGCTTCATGCTTCAGTCTTAAATTATTCTGAGAGGCTTCATGCTTCAGTCCTAAATTATTTCTTGGAGGCTTCATGCTTCAGTCTTGAATTATTCTGAGAGGCTTCATGCTTCAGTCTTAAATTATTCTGAGAAGCTTCATGCTTCAGTCTTGAATTATTCTGAGAAGTTTCATGCTTCAGTCTTAAATTATTCTGAGAGGCTTCATGCTTCAGTCTTAAATTATTCTGAGAGGCTTCATGCTTCAGTCCTAAATTATTCTGAGAAGCTTCATGCTTCAGTCTTAAATTATTCTGAGAAGCTTCATGCTTCACTCTTAAATTATTCTGAGAAGTTTAATGCATTTTCCTGAAATAATTTAGATAGGCTTTATGCAATATATAAAAATATACAAGTCTTTAATTGTACTGCACCAACCATAATTTTAAGCATCAAATTATTGTATAGCCTTAAATTTCAAACAGTATACTTGATCAAAATGTGTAATGCTTTTTCTAGATATTTATATTTAACACATAATTTATCTTTGTAGCTTAATCATTCTGATTAGAGAACTTAAATAACTATAAAAGTTATTTTTGATGCTATAAAATCCACCACTCCAGTGTTATTTTATATATTTTCAGAACGGTGGATGGGTGACACCAGTATTGGGTTATTGTAAAGATATCAAACTTGAGGATCTTACTTTAAACAAGACAGAGGTAATGTTTACAATTGTCACATGCCCACACTCTATTAGGTGGGGGCTTTAGATTTGCCATTAGATAGAGTTCATTCCGTAACAATAGAGGAAGGGGTCAATGACTCTCTATTAATCTAATAAGCAAAAGAATAGAAATGGCTCTTTTTCCCATCAGTTGCAAGTCTGTTTGGGTGTCAGTTCCAAAATGTTGTGTCACTTTCAGCTCTTCAAGTGCTTGAGCCAGAGTCAACAAACTTGAAAGGAATATTGATTAGCATGTGAAGTTGTGCACCTGGGTTTTCACATATAGATTTATTCATTTTTGTTAGAGTTATTTCCCTTGATTTAGAAAAAAAATTCAATATTCAATTTGTGTAGTGTGAAGCTCAAAAGTATTTGACTTGGAGTCATGAAACATTATAGGAATGTTGGTCAACATGTGAAGTTATGCACCTTGGGTTTTGTTTGTTGATTTATTCAGTATTTGTAGAGTTAGTGCCCTTTATTTAGTAAAAATTTGTTATTTTTAACTTGCAAAATGCATTTGACAAGTTTTGAAGCTTTACAGAAAGGTCAACATGCGTAGTGGTTTTGCTTGTATATTTATTATGACCCCCTTCAAAGAAGTGGGTGTATATTGCTTTGCATTTGTCTGTCCGTCAGGCAGTATGTCTGTCGGTTCGTAGACCAAATGGTTTCTGATCAATAATTAAAGAACGCTTATGCCTAGGAATTTTAAACTTGGTATAGGGAATGGGGATTGTTCATGACCAGAAGATGACTCCTATTGATTTTGGGGTCAAGGGGTCAAGGATTAAGGTCACATTGACCTTGTAGTTAAAAACAGTTTCTGATTAATAACTTGACAACCCATGGGCCCTCAAATTTCGTATCTTCTTGGTCTTGGCAAGTAGATGAACCCCATTGATTTTTGGGTCAAGGGGTCAAAGGTCAAGGTAAAATTGAACCTGTAGGTAAAAGCTGTTTCCAAATAACAACTTGACAACTCATAGACCTTTGGCCCTCAAACTGCATAGGTGCATTGGTCTTGGCCAATAGATGACCCCTATTTATTTGGGGTACAGGGGTCAAAGATCAAGGTCATATTAACCTTATAGGTAAAAACAGTTTCTAGTAAATAATTTGACAACCCATGGGTCCTTGGCCCTCAAACTGCATAGGTGCATTGGTCTTGGCAAGTAGATAACTCCTATTGATTTAGGGGTCAACATCTTATAACGTTGTAGGTAAAAAGGGGTTTCCTATCAATAACTTGATCAATAACTTGACAACCCTTGGGACTTTGGCGCTGAAACTGCATAGGTGCATTGGTCTTGTCCAGTAGATGACCCGTATTGATTATGGGACAAGAAGTCAAAGGTCAAGGTCATAGGCATACATGGCATAATTTTTAGATTCATTTCCGGGACACTTTTCATTTGGAGGTTGGACATTGATCAGCAGGCCTCGACACTAACTTTTTTAGCAGGTGGTACGCCGGACCACTAGATTTGAAAGTCAGGTGGTCCTTCCAGAAGTCAGGTGGTCAGTAATCTTTATTATGTCATTTTACTGCAAATGTAGAAAAAAATGTTTAAACTTTATGACAAAGATGTATTATTAACCTTTAAAGAAAACAGATATTTTTAGATATAAATTTTTCATCTAATCAGAAAAGGGAGAGCAAGTCAGTATGCATTTTATCGTAGAGTTATTTGTTCCAGTCAAAAATACACAACAGAGCTCTTATTTATGTTAACTTTTATATTAAAGTGATTTCTCCCGCAACTCAAGTTAGGGAATAGTGAAGCCATTTGTGTCTGTTGTTTTCTTACTGTTATTCAAATATTCATTGCTGATACGTGGTGCGTCTTATAATCATAATAATAACATAGCATCTTTTATAGATTATCATTTTTTTATGGAACTAATAAATTATCTTATCCTTGTTTTTGAAAACAAGGCAATAACTCAATTATTAAAATAATGACAACGTATGTTATTATTTACTATAAGTTATCTTATTTTTCTCACAGATTTATGATACAGAATGTTACCTCCCTGTTCCTTGTTGGTTGATATTCATTTTTGACATTGGGTATTTTTAACCTTTTAAAATAATTTTCACTCGAGAAGAAACAGATCTCTTATCTTTAAACAGTTAAAATAAAGATAAATAGCATAGAATGACTAGATGTATTTTTTCCAGTACCTTTAGTTTGCTGCCGTTATTCAAGTATCTGAAATTTAAGTTTATCCTATATCATATAATTACCATCATCGGATACTCACGGTTGATTATGTAACATAACATAAATGTTAATGGTTCCGCCGTGGTTATCAGACGATGCATAATTACTAGCACCATTTGAATGGATTTTGTACCTTAATTTATATCACAAATTCTTAAATCTTTTAACTTGCATAAACAAAATTTTAGCGACTTAAAATGAAAGTTATTGATGACTTAGGACTTCTTGAACTAATCAGAGATTAATGAACCATATAGATTTTAAACAAAATTATATAACATGTTTTTGACCAAATCGCCATTCTCCCAAATGAGCCTTGCATCAACCAGAAAATTCAAGTGGTCCGTCGGACCAGTGGGTTTTAAAAATTAGGTGGTCCTTGCCAAAATCAAGTGGTCTCGGACCAACGGACCACCGCTAATGTCCAGGCCTGATCAGCAAACATATTTTTTTTAAATTTACATAGTGGCATACAACCTATATTACCCGCATTTACAAGTTGCAAATTTAATGACAACATAAACAAAAGACAAAAAAATGTCCATTGTATACACACCGGTCTCACAAATATCCGGGACCTTATGGCATGTATGCATAGGTAAAGTTGAAAACGGTTTCAGATCAATATCTTGACAACCCATGGGCTGTTGGCACTACTCAAACATCGAAGGTTAATTGGTCTCGGCAATTTTTTTTTATGTCCTTTAAGTTAATTATTTCAGCGATGGCTCCCTCCACCAGTAAAGCTGGAAAGTCATCTAATGACCTTTGCAGTGCCAAAGAATTTTAAAGACAACAAACAAACAAGAAACACTAATGAGATGAAAAAGCTTTCAATACTATGGTCTTGGCAAATAGATGTCTCATAATGATTTTGTGGTCAAAGGTCAAGGTCATGTTGACATTATAGGTAAAAACGGTTTCTGATCAATAACTTGACAACCCATGGGCTGTTGGCCCTCAAACTTTATAGGTGCATTGGTCTTGGCAAGTAGATGACCCCTATTGATTTTGGGGTCAAGGGGTCAGAGGTCAAATTGACCTTGTATGTGAACACGGTTTCCTATCAATAACTTGACAACCCATAGGTCCCTGGAGCCTCAAACTTCATAGGTGCATTAATCTTGGCCAGTAGATGACCCCTTTTGATTTTGGGTCAAAGGTCAAGGTTACCTTGACCGTGCAGGTCAAGAAGGTTTCTGATCAATAACTTGACAACCCATGGGCTGTTCATCCTCGAAACTTTGTAGGTGCATTTGTCTTGGCAAGTAGACGACCCCTATTGGTTTTGGGGTCAATGCGTCAAAGATTAGTCTTGGCCAGTAGATGACCCTTATTGATTTTGGGGGATCAGGTCAAAGCTTAAGGTCGCATTGACCTTGTATGTCAAAACAGTTTCCTATCATTAACTTGACAACCTATTGACCTTTGACCTTCAAACTTCACAAATGCATTGCTTTTGGTCAGAAGATTACCTCAATGGATTTTTGGGGTCAAGGGGTCAGAGGTCAAGATCACATTGACCTTATAGGTAAAAACAGTTTCTGATCAATATCTCAACAACTCATGGGCCCTTTACCTTCAAACTTTACAGGTGCTTTGGTCTTGGCCAGTAGATTATCGCTATTGATTTAAGGGTCATAGGTCAAAGTCACATTGACCTTGTATGGAAAACAGTTTCCGACTTATAACTCAACAACTCAAGTTGCCTTGTTTGATATTATTTGATTAAATTAAAGATGCTTTTGGTATACACATTTTAAGGTCTAATGTAATATAATAAAATGGCTGTCATTAGGGAGGCTTGTTAAACATGATTCATAGAATTTATGCATATAATATTTGGTAAGATTTGTGATAACTTTGTCATAAAATTGCTGCACACAACCTTTTTGCTCACAATGACCTAGTGACTCCTCTTCACCAGTAGATAATCCCTATTGATTTTTTTTCCACTAGGTCGAAAGTCAGTCACAATAACCTTGTCACATGACTAATTGGCTGCCGATAGGGGGCATACATGTTTTACAAACATATCTTGTTCAGTATTTGTAGATTTCTTGCATTGACTTAGTTAAAAGTAATGTACCTCTAAAAGTGCTTGAGCTAGAGTCAACAAACTTCACGGGAATGTTGGTCAGCATGTTGGTCAGCATGTAGTATGCATGTGGGGGTATGATTATGGATATTTCAGTATTTATAGAGTTATTGCCCTTGACTTAGTTAAAAAATTTGCAATTTTCAATTGTGTTGTGTGTAACTCTGAAATCTATTATTTTTATTACTTTATAACAAACCAACATTTTAATGTTATTTCTCACTTTCAAAGAGCCATTCACCATTGATTTTTATCAGGGGAGAGAACTAGAAGATTATGGTTTTTTTGTCTGAATAGATTATTCACTCCTGGAGAATGTTGCAAAATAATATTGACCAAATGACAGGATGATAGAGCGAAAGAACACCATGTGACGTCATATTAGGCTATATAGTAAAAAGTTTAAACTGAGGTATAATAAATGTACATGTAGTATCTCCGGTCTGTGTTCTATAATTATATTCTAATTTGATACAAAGTTTTTTGTATCTTGTATTTTAGCATATTTCATTGTAGGTAGAAGAAGTGTTTGTACGAAAGATCTCAACATTATGTGACCCATCAAATCAAGGTTCCACACAATTCAGGTACAAAGACACTAATGGATACACCTTGCCGGTTTACTTCGGTGAAGATCACAGGATCTGGGGTCTAACGGCTATATTCATTCATCAATGTTAAACCTACTTGCACCAGAACTGTACAAGTTTAAACTGAGACATAACAGTTGCTGATGGCTGTTTAATAGTTGATTTTCTGTTCAGTATTTATTATAAAAATCCTCCACAAGTGTTAAATAATAATATTACAATAACACCTCTTGTAATTTTGTTGTTTTCATAGCTCCCGAGGGTTCACCCCTTTTCTGGATTCGCAGTTCTTAATTTGGGCAGTTACTTAAGTACTGTACATATCTATATTCTGTAACAATGCCAACCACAGTTTATTACCAATAAGGATTATCTCCTAATAATGTCAAACCCCTCAGTGCCGAGGTCTTCTCTATATTTGGAAATAAACTGATTGACAAAAACAAAAGAAGAAAGAAACGCAGGAATGTTTAACGTTTGTAGATGAAATTTGATATACAGTAACCATATAGCAATACATACAGTTGATTTCAAACTTAAGTTCCCACCCTTGTGCACATGGTGTGCACTAGACTTGAACTAGAAGTGCATATTACTAATAACAAATTTGTAAAGAAGTTGTCACGCTATTTATCATGTATCTGTTCTATTCTGATTGTGCAATGAACAACCCTTGCAGTTCATGAAGTTTTGGGGATTAAGCTATTAAAGTATAAAATGGTAACAGGCTGTTAAGTGTTTACTGGTCGCATTATATAATAATTTTATATTTGCTGGTTCGGTAGGAGACTGCTAAATCTTTACTTTTGCATATATAAAAACTTTCTCCTTGCTGGTACTTCAGAGATTTTTTTAAATATGAAGGTCTTTTAGTGACAACCAGCCTTTGATTCTTTTTTTTTTCATTTTCTTCATTGTTACAAATTGATTATTTTTGTTCAAAAATTAATAATTTTATTTCAAGTGCTGTTCGATGTAAAGGTGTGTGGTGACAACCAGTCTTTGATTCTTTTTATTTCATTTTTTTCATGACTACAAATTTATTCTTTTGTTCAAAAATTAATAATTTTATTTCAAGTCCTAGTCCAACTCTAGAAGCAAGATTCTGACCCAATACGAAAAGACACATCTCAGAATTTACGTTTGGCACGTCAGAATATCTTGACTAGATATCATCTTAAGCACTCAATTGTTTCATTAAAACACTGGAATGACTCATGGTACACCATGGTACATAGATAATATAAAATGACAAGTTTCTGGCACTCATGCATGCACATCTGATGTACAAGAACATAAACTTCAACTTCCAGCTCTACATTTAGTATCTATCCTGTTAGCATACAAAATCTCTGTGGTTCTTTTAAGTTGCCTGATTGTGCCTGAATTAATGCATGTCATTGGAAGGTCTCATGAGATATTCCTCTACCAGTAAAGCTGGCACTTTTCAGTGTCTGTGTGGTTTTTACCAAACAATATCAACAATGTGTATGAAAAACAACTCATTTGTATATCATCAAAGTAATCTATCTTTATTCAAACTTTACCAAATAATTGCAATCATCATATTTGATATGTAACATCTGACATGAACATACCAAAATATGGCTTATAAAGGTTAATTGGTAACTCAAGTCAATTAATTTATCAAGCATGTATGTATGTGTATATACATGTATATATATTATCATATATATGTATGATATAATATTTTAAAGTGACACTCTGCATTTTTTTCATTGTAGATTTGTGCTGTATGATAATGAAAAATTTTGAAGATAATATATATATAACTGCTTCAAGTATAAAAAGACTGCTCCATATTATTATCTATTAAAAACTTATGATCCAGTCCAAAGGATATTCATAGAACTCTCATTTGGGATATTGATTATACAACATTGAACTAGTCTACATACTTGAAAACAATTAGGTAAAATGATTTTGACATGTACACTTGGGTGGGCTTAATATCACAAAGATTATTCATAAAAATGTGATTAATATGAATACTGTATTTTAATTTAAACTAAAATTGTTCATTAAGCCATTGTCATTAAAAACTGGTTCAATATTCTTTCAAATTATTACTGTATTACAGAACGTCAATTGTAAACCTATGTCAATATAAGTTTCAAAATATGTCAAAAGTAAGCATATTTATGTCAAAATTTAGCATAATAATGTCAAAAGTAAGCATAATAATATCAAAGGTAAATATAATAGTGTCAATGCTTCACATATATCAAAAGGAAGCCTATATATGGCAATATGTCAATGGTTTATATATGTAATAACTAGCATAATTATGTCAATAGTTAGCATGTGTCATATGTCAATAGTACTCATATGTTAGTAGTAAACACAATTTTTTTCAATAGTAAACAAATGTCATAAGTTAACAAAATAATGTCAATAGTAAACATATATCAATAATAAAACAATTTATATTTGCTGTATACTTGCATCCAAAAATGCTATTTCATACACACACACAAACACCAATACACATACACGCACACACACACACACACACACATGCACACACACACACGCATACATACATACATACATACATACATACATACATACATACATTTTTGCTATAAACATAAATTTTCTGAAAATACTACAAGCAAAAATATTTTACAAAAATGTAAGGTATGCAAAACATTGAAAAAATATATGGTATTCAAAATATTGCAATATTATAAGGTATTCAAAACATTGAAAAAAATATATGGTATCCAAAATATTGCAATATTATAAGGTATTCAAAACATTGAAAAAAAATATATGGTATCCAAAATATTGCTATATTATAAGGTATTCAAAACATTGAAAAAATATATGGTATCCAAAATATTGCAATATTATAAGGTATTCAAAACATTGAAAAAATATATAGTATCCAAAATATTGCAATATTATAAGGTATTCCAAACATTGAAAAAAAAATATGGTATCCAAAATTTTGCAATATTATAAGATATCCAAAACATTGCAAACTTAAGTATAGGAAACAATGCAAAATAAAATAAGGTGTGGTAATCAATGCCAATCATGAGAATGTATAATGGAAAAAAATGCAAATTATAAAAAGGAACTGTAAATGTAGCATATAACCAAACAAACCTAATCGTTTTGTCAGTATAAAGTTTGATGTAGATGTACATTTAGATTGGGTATAAAATGACATTTTCTTTTGTAAATCTATAACAATAATACACAGAATAATAGTGATATTTTATACAAAACAATACTTAATTATATCAATGTAAATAGAATATGCTTTGATATTAACTTGACATTGTGCTCAATTACAACAGCTATATTGCATATTCTAAACATGGATTTAGGCAGGTGCCCATGGTATACCATGTGTATTAATGGATCCTATCATATTTACATGGAAAGTATACAATCAGTGATACTGCTTATTATCTAGAAATATACATGTAAACAAAAGACAATCATTTTAACAATCATAATGAGAAGTGTAAAATTGTAAGTATTGTCATCTAATAGCAAAACGTAACAAAAATACTACTTTTATAGACTCAATGACAAAAAAGGTGTTTTTTTACAAAGTTAGTTTCTGAAGAGAAAAATAGTGAATTTACTTGTAATTTAAACCAATTTATAATTCAACAATAACACCTGACCTTTACGCGGGAATTCTTAATATGTCTTGATAATAAAAATATATTTACAGGATATGTTAGAATCGATATGTGCAGAATTAAATGAATATACAAATTATTTAGCCTTTTACAAACACATTTACTCAATCGTTTGAGCTTTTCCTAGGTTAACAATTAGCCAGTATGTACATGTATGTTACACAGGTAAATCTCATATTATATATACAATGATGAACTGCTATGCAATAGATAGTATGACAATATCCAATAAAATGAGACATAATCTTTCATTTATTTCAGAAAAATCGCAAATCATCAAGGGAAAGTCGTTTCCTTGAGCAAAAACAAACTAAATACACTAATTGCTGTTCCAGAAATGGATTCGGAAGTGGGTGTATATGCTTATAGCTTCTTACACAAAAATGAAACAAGAATAAAATATGTGTATTAACTTAAACAATTGTCACAATCCGTACGCCATATTGTATCTAAATACAGCAAACTTTAATGCAAATGTAGAAAACTATATACAAACAAAATAGATCAAATGTATATGTATTGGTATATTATTGATCATATGGTTTTGTTTTCATTTTTTAACATAAACAACTAATTAGATATAAAAATATCTACAACATTAAATCGGCATATTCATAATTGCAAATGCCTTTTTTACAGATAGCAAACGTAAGATAACTATATTCATTTTTACACATAAATAAAATACAGAAAGTCCATATGTAACATATATACATAACACAAAGCTTATATACAAGTATCACTTTTATGACGTTGGAAAATATTATAAATTCTATCAGCACTGTTTATGACATCATCACACGACTACTTTAAATCTATCTGATATAACTATTTTGAACAAGCGTTATAATTTTTTGCGCTAACTCTATCATGCCTGTAGCTTTTGTTCTGGTATATATCTCAGAAGGAACTTGTGCTGTGTGAGTTCTTGGATATCGCATAGCACTGTAATCGCCAGTCAAATTAGACATTTCTCGGGCAACCACCCTTAACGATGGGTCGAGGTCTGCAAAACAAAATGTTTAACAATACAATTATATAAAGAGTAAACTTGTAAAAGATATATTTTTTATGTTAAATTATTTTCTTAAAAATAACACTTCATGTAAGAACATTAAATTTTATGAACTAATACGTTTCACAGTTCACATGCATATTATGGTTATCCAATACAATATGCTAAAAAATGTATACTTAAAAAAACTTGATGCATGTTTAACATTCTGGAGAATGGAAAGCGTTCAAGAGCAGTGAAGTTTGTTACAAAACTTAGCGGGAAACGCAATATATTCCATATCCATAGCACCGACTAGTAGTATTCAACCCTAATTTGTAAAATAATACTTTGATGACGTTCATACATATATGTCAACTGCATAAACCCGCAGTTCTTACCTCTAGCTAAGGCCTCTAAATCATGACCTGAAACTGAAATCCCAATTTTTTTAGCGTCTTTGGAATACCAAGCTGCCTTCAAAGCTTTTTCTGCTGCCTAGATATAGAAACTTATATATATCATTGACATAAAATATCACACAACATGAATCACATGAAGTACTTATGACAATAATTTCATTTGAAAACATATACATTGGAAACCATAAAGAACAAAAGTTCTAAACGGGAAGTTTAAAATTGTTGCAGGCATAGCTTGATTTAGCCCTTTTATTGACAGCAGCGGTATGTAAAAGCTACGTTCTACGACCGTTACATCGACTGAAGCAAAAGTCCATATTTATACATGAATCTTGAAAAATGTGTTATCATAAAACTTTCAATGTGACACTTTTGCGGCATGTGTTCCGACAGAAAATGAATATGTGTGCCTTAAAACGAACACAACGATCACAACTAAGACAAATGAATTTTTGAAAGCGGACCTGAACCTATGAAGCCTGTGTAACATTGACAGCTGCCAAAAAGACTATTAATTTACCACACAAAAAAGAGACAGCCAAAGCGTGCTGAAAACACTTCATTGGAAGTATAATATTTCTGTTTTAACTTGTATTACCATATTATTTTAGCAAATACTTGGTTCATTAATTACTTTAAATTCAAACCAAACATAAATCTCACCAGTTGAAAATTTATTTGAACATAAACTAATTAATAACTTTAAAAGGCTTTAATAATGTATAGCACGAAGTTTAACTAGTATTAGTGCTTAACATGTATTATTTTTAAGAAGGTGAACATTTTATACCTGGTGTGCATTGTAGCATGACCAATTATACTGTGGATGTTCTTGTAATTCTATCGATTCTCTAGCTTGTCTTAAATCTAATTCAGCCTGCTTATGCCAAATGCGCGCCATGCTGTACCAATGATAGGGCTCGTAGGATGTATGCGTATATCTTCGACTCGACCTCCAATAAGAATGAAAATTACGGTAATATCCACTTGTTCCGCGGGAACTATTATTTCCGCTGGAAGTATTATTGTAAGAAGTATTGCTATATCGACTTTCATTATATCGTCTTCCTCTATCGTACCTTCTCCAGTACCTATCATATCTAGTATTGCCATAGGACCCGGAGGATGACCAATAAGTTCCAGAAGTGTTCGAGCTAAAATTACGCCCTGTCGTATGGCTATCGGAATCGTCATCTTCTTCCTGTAGATCTAAACCGTTATCAAGCCGATTTAAGCATTGTTGTATATACTGAAATACCTTTGTACAAAAATTAACATTATCTGGATTCTTGTCAGGATGCCATTTGAGCATCAGGCGTTTAACAATACGCTTCCTGTCGTTTTCATGTTTCTTCCAAGCTTCAGTGAGAATTTTTCTAACTTCCTTACAAGCTTCTTGAAATGTTTGAGGAAAGCACTTTGGCAATTTGGCGACTTATGAGCCGTGTTGGTATCTCCTGAAAATACTACAATATCTGTCCCTTTTTCAGTGCTATGCTTTCTCTCTCTAACAAATTTGTAAAGTTGAAATCCCTTCACAGTTTGTGTAGTTCCGGACCCGCAATCAATTTCATACTCTTGAAAAAGAGGAAGTTCATTTTCTGGCTCAAGTTGTCTGATAATATGAACATACATATATGTTGGCGTGTATTTTCCGTTTTGCTGCTCATCATCTTCACCATCTTCTTCCAGCTCTGCATCAAAAGATGGATCGTCTACTTCTAATGCTACGAATTTAAAATCAAATTCATAAATCAATCCAAAATCGTTATCCAAGTATCTATGGAACCTTTCTTCAACAATATCTCCAGGAATAGGGTAAGAATAACTTTCGTCTAAAATGTCTGTCTCAAATGTGTATTCTTTTATTCTTGCCTGACTAAGATACATTTCTATCTCACGTGGCGTATCAAACATTCCTATTATTTCCGAGAGGTTTAAAGATGTTTGGGCATCAAAACTTTTTTCACAAGTTAACCCATTTAGGTAAACTGTTATTTCTTTTTTTACGTTTTGCTTCCAATTTGAATCAGATGTGTCAAAATATACACAAACTGCTTTTTCCGATATTTCAGTGTGAACAAATCTTTTCTCGTTTGTATTTTCAATTAATACTTCTTTCCCTAGTTTCCTCCCACTTTCAATGTTTTTCATATACAGCACCGTTTCTATTCCAGAGCATTGCTCAAATGTTACTTTTTTCATATGGTTGGCAAACTTAGTTTCTATCTCTATGTTCCATTTGATGCCTTGCAGTTCCAGTGTATGTCTATACAATCTCAGAAATCCGTACAAAAAGTCTGTCCCGTGTATGAATTCTTCAAGTTTTAACGCTTCGTTTCTTGTCATCTTTTTAATATTATCAAGTACTACCCTTTCCACGACCACTTCTGTGAGCAAGTATGGTTTCTGTGTCTCAGGCAAATATTGCAAGTTTTCAACACAATTGTCAATCCTCATGTTTTTCTCAAACAACGTACCAAAACCTATGAGAAACATACGCCTTTCCGTGTTACTTCTATCTAAAGCACTTTTGAAGTACATGTTATTTGACACAACTAGCATATTTGAATTTTCGATTGTTTCGGCCTCAGATAAAAAGTAAAGACTTTCCCCTGAAATAGTTATGGTTTTTGTTTCAAATGCTAGATATCGAAAGAAATATTGCATAGCTTTAATAGCATCAGAGTACTCTTGAGGGGTTAGCTCAGGTCCGCCTGCTTTCAAAGTTTTTTCCTTTAAACACCTGAGGGCACAGGCAAAAGAATCACATGACAGTTCCTTTGAGGCACCTAATCTTATAAACACATTTGTATATTGAGAAAACGAATCAGGACATTTTAGTAGATATGGATGTATTTCCTCTTCTTCTTTGCAAGATATTACTACTCGTTTCGCAGGAACAACGAGCTTCATATCAGGAAAATATACTGTCGGAATGTTTGACAGTCTAGTCAAATATTGATTCGTTATATCGTTGTCAGGAGCATTTTTCAATGCATAGTATATCTCGTCCATAACAGCTTTTAATCTTGAGCGACTTAATGCATTTAATCCCTGCCATAACTGTGTTAATATTGTCGCCAATAAGCATGCAGTGCGATACCAGATCTGCTATACTAGGTGTTTTACATATTTGTAACTTTTCTATCACTTCTTTTTCTAACGGTGATGCATGCTGTGGAAGAATATTTAAGACTGTCCATGCAATATTTTCTTTGCTGGTTACAACTGATCCTTTGAAACAAATGAGTTTTGTACTGTTGAACTGTTCTTTGAGAGAAGATAATGCCTGTGGAACTACATGTGGTGTAACAAAATTAATTTTTGCAAGGTTTTCAAAAGATCCATTTTGGAAAAAAATCTTTCCCATAGAAATTAAATTTGTTGTTATCAGTTTTGATAGTTCTGATACTTTGACCGATATTGGCTCAGTGTCAACTTGTGATAAAGCCACTTCTTTTGCGAACCGCTCAAACAGTGCAACTGTCATTGTTGATTTTAAGCCAATTTGTCGAAATAGCTGTAATATGTTAGACTGTTTGTTTATATCAGAAAATATTATTGGGGCTAACTCGGCCACTTTACACATTTTCCGAAAAATGGGATTAACTGGATCAAATAGGTCACAAACTTTTACAAAAAGTTCGCCCTGCGTTTTTACAAATGCAGTCCTTTTCAAAAGCGACAATAGAGAAGTTTTTTCATCACGATTAGATTGATCAATAGACCAGTGGTTTAGATTTCGGCTTAGAAATTCTAAGTGATCATAAAAGCATTCTCTTTGAAGCAAGTCATGTTTTGGTACAATGAATTGTGTATAAACTTGCACCAACGATAATTTCGGTACATTCAAGTGTTTGAAAATTTTATCATGTCCTGTATTGCGAAGGAATATAACCCCTGCCTTTTCTGCTATATCGTTAAGTCCTTCCTTTGGTAAATTGAATGGCACAACGTATTTCCTCTCGTATGTTTTCAACATCACTCTTTTTCCAAAATGAGAAAGAAAAATGGGCATTTTTTCCAAAGTTGCTAAATGTTATGACCGTGTACAATCATTTATGCAATTATTGAAGTACTGAAGGATATTCATTAAATCATTGTCTGAAATACTTGCAACTGTTGTATCATCTACATTTAAATGGAGACTCTCTAATACTTATCTTGGTTTTCCATAATTTGGAACATCCTTTGACAATATTATGAAAGCTCTGTCTAATTCAGAATTTTTATTCTTACAGAATATAGATTCACATATATGAGGTATTAACATTTTCTGAAATGTTTTGTACAAGTTTCGATTAGTTTTGAAACTTTCAATATTTAACATTTGGTTCATCTTACATGGAGGTGCAAGATATACAGCATCTGTTTCTGACTTTGTCACTGGTATTAGTGGTATAGTCCACATAACCTGAAGTTGCTGTCCGACGTATACCCCAGATTCGTTTTCAAGTTGGTAAATGAAATATTCCCAAAAAGTTTGAATCCACACTTCTGTAGGATCTTGTCTGTTCCATGATTTGAAAGAAGTACAGTCATCTTCTATTTGTTTTGTTTCTTTCACAAGTGCTACAAATTGGATTAACTTAAAGCGTTTCAGTTTACATTGAAATTTTTCTTCATTTTTACAAAAGAGTTTGTCTAATTCTTTTGCAATTGTGCTGTGTAAAAATTTGTTTTGTTTTGTTGGGAAGAAACCACAAAATTCTGGCCGGGGCTCTAAATAAAAGTATCCGCTTGCTGGCAATGTCCTTACAATACTATCTCCAGTAACCATAAAAGGTATATTCTCAATTTTCAAAATGAGTTTCTCTTCGTCATTGAGACAGTACGACAGAATTGTTGCAGCATCCTGTACAGTTTGCAGTGATGTGTGCATAACGTGTCTTTCCGTTTCTATATTGCAGTCTTTGTCATTTGCAGCTGATATACACAGGAAGTCAATAACATGCAAGGGTCTAAGGTTTTCTATACTAACACCAGAAGTGTGCATTGCATCCTGGATGTCTTTTGATACATACACAAGACGCATACCTACTCTTCGCAAAATATTGTTCAGATTAGGCATGTGTTTTTCTTCTTCTCGAATGTATGCAGGATATCGTAAACCAGTGACATTTAATGAAGTCCATGTTAAGTGCACAGCATACTGGTCAGTTAAGTATTCATCTTGAATTGTATTTGTAACTGGAAGAAATTCAACATTATCATTGACAAGTTTCCTGTAAACAGATTCCATTAGAAGTTTCCAGTACTCATCAGACACTGTATCTTTTAATGGAAACAGAGATTGGTAGTTTGTTAGAGCACACATGACATTGGATAAATTTGGTTTTGTCCTGTCATATGCCAAAATTGAACACTTTTTGAATATTCTAATAGATGTACATATGCCATCGATATGACATGTTCTATCAATATGTTATTTTATAAAGTTCTGTGACATATTTTCTCCACCTCTGATTTCCAAAGAGACCTCCTTGTTTCGTGATCTAAGGCAAAATATCCATGAACATGTACAGGAAGACCTGTTTTAATAGGTAGAGGCAAGAAACAAAACGCCTTACATTTTTTTTTTGTCTCCCACACAAGCCTATCGCAAGTATCTGTTCTCATTTTTGCTTGTAAAGCGATCCCTCCATGTGGCAGAAGTCCTAACTTGCCAGTGACAATTTTTTCTACAATAACTGGGTCTATTTTGGAGTTTTGGGTAAATCCTAGTATCTGTACAACAATGTAGTGTAAAGCTTGTTGTATTTGCCTCTTTCTCACATTTATTGTTAGTTCATATATTGTACAGAACTGATCAAAGTTAAATATTGCTTCCTTTGACTTTTTGAATTCTGCACACATTTGGTGTTGCTTTTGCACGTACTCTTTACGTTTCTCACTGTCCCTTTCACTCATTTCAAGACTGATTTGTAACTCTAGTATGAAGCGATCATCTTTATATGACGAAATTTTCACTGTCTTTAGATTTTTTAAGAAAATTAAGACATTGCTTAAATCTTTGGAGAGCTCTTTCAAAATATCAGATACCATATCCATGCTTACTGATTCATCTTTTATGCGTGACGTTTTCGCCATTTCATCTGTTCTTAATGGGAATCTAAACACTGTTCCTTGTTGTCCGGTTATTAAAGTCTTTTCGTGATATCCACTCATCATATCTGCGTGTCTTTTTCTTATTATCTGTACATCTTTGTAGCGTATTCCAGGCTTTCGTTTGGTAACATTTGGTACAAACTTAGCCAATGGATCAAAAAAGCACAGTGTTTCTCCATTCTCAATATTTCCGCCTTTAGTCAAGAATGATGGAGCATCTGTTAAATTGTAAACTGCACTGAATCCGATGCCATACCGACCTGTTTTGGAAGGATCATCTGATTTATTGCCTCTCCCAAGCCTTTGTATTCCTTTTATGTCATCATTTGAAAATGCACTGTCGTTACAAACGACCAGCGCAGGGCCCTGCAGAGGTTGAAACATTTGATCGATTATATTATGCTGTGGGTGTGTCTTATAGTCTTTGACAAAATGTATTTCCGTAGCCTTTGCATCATCAGCATTTTGAATAAGTTCTTTAAGTATACCTGAATCGACAGGATATCCTTCAAGAAGATTTTTCAAATGCGTTATTAGCGGTTCATCATGACAAAAATCTTCAATGTCTTCCGGATTTTCTTGAAGACAGTGATACAACTTTGGTTTCACTCCTACGAATTTAGCTAAATCTGCAGGGAAACTTTTATGAGCATAAATCATAGAATCGCTTTTCGCAACTTCGTCATAGTCGTTGAAACACATTTTTTGGCAATTTTGTAACACTCCGTTTTCATCTGGTCCGTAGATCGCCTCTGTCTCATCTTTCACAATACTTTGAACATCAAACGACTGTCCGTAGAAAACTGTTATACTGTTTTTAAAACAGTACAGAATATCTATAATTGTCCTTATGTCTTGTTTTGAAAGGAAATTTTCTTTCTTTTCATTTTTGATACCTTGGATAATCAATAAAAGAAAATATGGATCAAAATAATCAGCTATTTTCAGACATTTACAAAAGAGAGGACAATTTTTTAGAGGCGAATCATCCAAGCAATAAATGTATGGTTTACAGTCAAAAAGTGAGCACTCCGATACAAAACTAGTTTTAACAAACTGCTTTGCTACATAAACAATAGGTTCATCTCTTAGTGATATAGCCAAATCGTTTGGTTTATCTTTCGTTTTGCAAACTTGTTCAAAGTACTGGTAAATGTCTTGTACAATCGATGAAACATAGGTAATTTTGTCAGGTGCTAACTCTTGGAAAGAAGTAGAAATACTTATCAAGTTCTCTGATGCGAATTTTGGTTCAATAGTAGTCTTCACACGTCCTTTCATTCTAAGTTTTTCAAGCATATCTTTGAAAATTTTCGTCTCCGAATTCAACATACTATAAGAAATGTCGTCCATTATAAATGCAACACATCCGACGATATTCTTACAAGTGCTGAAGTACATGTTTGCCGGACGATCAAAAAATGACGTTTTGCATTTTTCATGGCTTGCTTTGTGTAATTTGCATTTTTTTGTATTTTTGCTGCTTAAAAACATGTCAGCGTGCCACTCGAAAACCCAGTCCTTTGGTTTTGCTAGAACGGGAATAAATTTCAAATTTCCAAGATCACAGAAGATACTTTCATGCATATCCTTATTTCTACTAAGATAGCATTGCAAATATGCGGAACGTTTAACAGCACAATTTAAACACTTTTTGCTTAAGATTTCGATTGAATTAGCCCTGTTGATAACGATTTCATCTGTCAGGACATTAAACATAAGTCCGAGTTTCTGCAATTTCATTGAAACATGTTCTTCAGTGAAGGGAATTTCAGGAAAAAAGCCATCTGCCGCGACAAACATTTCAGCTAAAAATGAGTTAGTGTTAATTAAGTCCTTGGGACATTTTAGAATACCGTTTGGTTGTGACGGTATGCATTTGTTTTGTTTCAACCAGTTATCTATTTTTTCATTCTGTAAATCTATAGCATAGCATATGAGATGTTTAACATTCTCCTCCATTTGCTGTCGAGATGAAAACGTTTGAAGACTTGGGAACAAATATTCTAAGAAAAATGTTTCCATCGAAATAGTCAGTCGATCTATCAAGACCTGATCTGCCTGTTTAAGCATATCATAAATGTTGTCAGAAACATCTATTACATACTCGGTTAACTTTGACAGTTCATCAAAGACTATTTCACCAATATCTAAAGAGCGGATTTGTCTTTCAATAAAGACACACTTCGAAATATTAAACCATTGTCCATTTTTTTCGAACACATCGTAAACACCTGGCCTGACAACGTTTTGATAGAATGCAGCCGGCAAAAATTCTAAAACTTCTGCTGTGTCGTGCTTTGGCCAAAGTTGGGAAAAGTGATATTCGCCTAGAGAAACATGTGAATGTAATTGTGTCAGCAAAAAGAGTAATGCTTGGGTAACCGAATCCTGAAGTAGATATCTGTTCCACTCTTTCATCTTAACATTTTTGTTATCTTCCGCCGCTGTTTTAAGTTGTCTCCTGTCTGATGTTTCTGTAAACTGACTGTTTATATGGAACGGAAATTTATGCTCTATAGATAATGGCAAAAGGAAGAAAAGGTGTCCTGTTTGATAAAACCGATCCGGAAGTTTATTGAGTGATGAAACATCAACTTTTCCTTCTTTCGTATATTTCACTGGTATTGCTACAGCACCTAGTGGTAATGTTCCCTTTTCTTCATACGACATACTGATTGTGTTTTCCTCTATCCCTGTTGACCAGCTTACAAACCAGTCCTCTTTTGTCCCATTATCTTCTGTATGTACATTAAATTTCGAATGGAAGTAGGCATTGATTTGAATGGAAACCTTGTCTATGACTTGAAGTGGAAAGTAAAATAGTGTCTTGGATTCTTTTCGTTCCGAAGCTTCGACTAGCATAGATAAAGCATTTAATCCTGCATTATCTGTTGCACACAACCTGACGGCGTTCTTGCGCACCTCAAATAATAATGTTGCCTTCTTCGGATCACGTTCCGTTTTCGGTATGTGCAGAAGTTTGAAATTCACAACATTTTGATTGAAAAGAAGCATGTTTGCTGCCATAGACATTATCTTTTCGAATAGCTGCTTAACCTCTGTAGTCGTGTAAACTACATCACTTATATCACTTGCTCTATTTCGTAATGGTAACCGAAATAATGTTCCGTTGAAAAAAGGCGATGCAGTGTCAAGAATTCTGCAATCAAAAATACCTTCGAATGGCAGGAATAGATTTCGGAGACATTTAAAACAATTTGAGTTGCTCATCTTTCTAAAGTTGACACGGAGTCCTGGGCTTCGTCCAGGTAGAACATTCCCAAGATGTGACATATCAGGGTCAAAAATCACCATGTTTTCCCCTGACACAAAACTAGGTACATCGGTTATGTTGTAAACGGCACAAAAGCCTAAACCAAATTTCCCTATTTTAGTAGAATCATCTTCTTTTGTAGCACCACTAAGTTTTGTTATATTTTCAAAGTCAGACTCAGTAAATTGTGCGTCGTTGTAAGCCCAGATAGCTGGTCCTTGACATTCAGCCATGCTTTCATTAATGAGTCCTGTTTTTGCTTCGTTATTTTCTCGCTCATCAAACAAAATACACAGTGTCTTTGCCCCAGCATCATCAGCATTTTGAAACAACTCTTTAGCCACAGAAAATCCATCAACATAACCTTCCTTTAAAAGATTTCTTAGCCGTCTTGTTAAAGGTTCTTCTTGGCCCCATTCAGCAAATGCCTCTGTGTCGCTCATCATATGTTGGCGTAAGGACGGAACACCTAGAGCATCAGCTGTTGATATTGGTAGGTCTGGGTGAATGTAATAAATATCACCATCAAATTGAAAGTCCATATTTTTCAGCCATTGTTCATCACAATAAGTGCAGGACTCAGTTGGCATCATATGGATGCCACCATTTTCTCCTATTGTTGGAAAAAAGAGCTTTCTATCACTTCTGACAAAGTCATCAAGAAAGTTCTTTTTTATTCTGTTTAAAATTGCTATAGCCATTTCTGTAAATCTCTCTGCAACGTCTTCGTTATCTATTGTCTGTTGCTCTAAATTTTTTATTTGCTGCAAAGTGTCGACATATGTATCATATCCAATCGACTTTAGACATCCAAGTTGCAAGAAAAAGTCTGCTAAAGACTGAAGTTCTGCAGGAAGAGGATGCATAAATGGCATAAGGTTTATTTCCCCTTTTGATTTTTCAATGTACATCGTTTCGATTGGCTGGAATATGCTTCCATCCCAAACAAATGAATTGTGGGGTTTAAGAAACCGGTTTTCGATCATTATTTTCAGATCGTCTTTTCTGACTTCATCCTGTTTTGAAAGCCATTCATAAATACAGGTAACAATAGGCAGATATGACGCTTTAAGGTTTGGCTGATATTCTTTTACAATAATTTGTAAGTGTTCTAGGACCATGCATACTTTCGGCTGTGAATTCCAATGAAATACATCAGACAAATGTGGTAAACGTTTGCTGTCAATTATAAACATTACTGATCCAATTAGATTAACATGTTTGGCTGAGTGAATATCCATTGGCGTGCAAATCAAGGGTGAAGTGTCAGCATTATTTTTCTGTCTGTTTTTTAATGGAATATTTTTAGAATAAATATCTTCCATTGTGTCCTCGATGAATATACATCTTCTGGTGTTTATATAATCGTTTTGAACAAGATGGCTGTGTTCATTCATAACATGTAGTAATGCTTTGCATTTTGTTAAGTCCAGTTCTAAATTTCCATCAGCCATATGATTTACTGCATCACTTACACGATTAACATCATGTACGGTAAGATCTTTTATTGTTTTGAGACCGAAATGTTTTAAGGCATGAAGTATAAAGAGTCTATGCTCATTCTTGACTAATTCTGGAAACAAAGCTTCCCCCTTGAACAGATCACATATCAATTTTTCGGATGGATCGAACAAATCGCTTGGCATGTAGAACGACTCGTTACTGGATTTAAGAAAAGCTATATGTTTTAATTTTTCTTGAACATCATGATATTTGAAATGTTCTCCTTTCAATATTATCCAAAAAACAAACTTTTCCTTCTCATTTGATGTATATTCATTTATACTGCGAATCGTTTTTCTTACCAGTTCTAGTTCTGATATAACATTTGCGTCTAGACGTTCCGCTAAGATCTTTTCTTCATTCGAATTCAACGTAATCATTGTAGATGGAAAATGGACTGGATATTCTTTACCATCGTAAACGTCATCTATTTCATTCAATGAAACAAGATCGCTTTGTGTTTGAATTTTATATCCTCTGAAAAGTCTAAGTTTCCGTATGGTTTGCTTACCAGTTTTACGAATATTGGTGTGTATTCGCTCGGCCAAAAACCTCAGCAGAGCGGCACTACTCTCATCACAGGTGTCGTTGTTGAATTTGCACACTTGCTGGGATGATAGATGCTCGAATAGAGATGTTATTCGTTCACTCGTTTCGTCAAATAAAAAGTTACTTATAAGACCAACGTCAATATCAAAGGGGATGTTCTCAGTAACTGACACTGATAACAAGTCGAATGAACGTTTTATCAATACTCTATCCTCGATTTGGTTCAGCAATGGTAAATATAGAATGTTCGTACTAAGTTTTATCAATAAGAAGTCAGACAAATTTTCCCCGTTGTCCACACTTATAATTGGGAAAATTGGACAATCAATAAACTTCTTTATAGAGTCCCGAAACCTTTTTTGAACCAAATTCCAAATGTCTCTTACCCATTTTTTCCATTTCTTAGCTTCAGATTCTTTTACATGAATAGTGTCTTTTTCTCCAAAGTTGTTCTGGAGAACGTTGCTCACCATAGTAACAGTAGCATCGTCACTCAGTGCTGCCAGACAGTACCCTCCTGAAATCATGAGATAATTTACTCTTTAACCACATAATATATTTATTACATTTAAACAATCATAAATATTTACTAAGAGACATTGCATTGTGACATCATCAAAATTGTATATGTTACACTTATTAAAATGACTACTTTAGAATACATGTATATTAAATGATTGTGGGGGATAACAAAAATATAACAAAACCACTACTTTACCTTTGTCAACAAGTTCCGTCAGGTGTGTTGTTGTTTTCTTTCTAAGATTCACATGGACAAAATTGCTTTCTTGACCGGGAAAAATTTCAACAATATCATTTGTCTCCAAGATAACTTTTTTCCCTGTAGAAAATGTCGTGAACGTTCCGTCTGCAAGAGGCAACAGTTCCAGATCTTCGAGTCCCTCTGTAGAAGAATCCAACATTACAAATTCAAAGAGATCTTGTTTTTTGTCTAAATTCAGACCTTTGTAATTGCTGTTGTGTGTCAATGCCATGTGCGATTTAAGATACGCTGGTTTCGCATATGTTACTTTACAACCTTTCTTTTTGAAAGATTCCGATACATGGTCGGGGACCACAACGGCATTGACTTTGTCTAAAATAAGAAGATCAAAAACGGTGTCCATGTATTCATCAGTTAGGTTAGTTTGTTCCGCACATTGCCTTGACTTTGTGAACACTGCGTCACGGATCTGAATCCATCTTCCACCATCCTGTTTAGTGTAGAAAATGGATTTGTCATTACAAAGTTCTAGAACAATTTCAGCTAATGTACGCCAATGTTCATTAACAACCCAAAGGTCAGGCACTGCATTGTACAATGCCTTCAAAAGGTAATCTGGATTACTCTCTTTCTGACACAAATTTGCAAGTTCTTTCAACAATATTTCATAGGCCTCTGGTAATACTTGTGTCAAAAGCTCAAGATTCCACTCGATTTTCTTATCACCTTGACCCATAGTCATGTCCCCTTGATCAGGCCATCTTACGTGTCTTCTGTTCTGACTTAATGAAAAAAATCCATTTATATGAACAGGTAATCCTGTCATGGATACATTTTCTTGCGGTAATGGCTGGTAACAAAATACATGACCTGAAGTGCTTGTAAAGTTGTTTTGCTCATCTATTGATGCTGCTACACCAACAATATGTGGATAGCCAAGCTCTTTGTCTTTCATCAGTAGTCCCAGCTTGTCAGATATGTCTCCTCCTTTCAGATAATTAACAATTAACCAACGAGATTTTGCAATCTTGCTGTCTTCTTCAAAAGTATTTGCTAATGTTTGCACTGTGATATCGAACACCCATTGCTTTGAAACATCAGGTACTTCGTTTTCAATATCTTGGAGCTCTTTAAGAAAAAGTGCTCTTTCCTTCTCTATGTCGTTGGATTTATTATTTACTGATACGATAAAGTAAGGTTTTTCTTTTCCCAAGTTCATTGAATTCAGTTCTTTGAAGGATAGTTGAGAATGATTTTGTTGCCCATTATCAGAATCTTGCATGTCAACATACAGCGTGATGCTACATAGTGTCTTTAGAAACAACAAACTTCTATCCGACTCTGATATAAATGCATGCAGTAAGTTGTATACATTTTCCTCCGGATATGTGTTTTCCGAAAGTGATGAAAAATGCTGTCGCAACGGAAACCAAAACATGGTACCATTGTAAAAACCAGATGTCAAAGTGTCGTCGTCAAACCCAAAGGTATTGATTAAGCTGTTTCTGTAGTCATTTTCATTAAGTCGGTGCCATTTGGTTAGGTCTTTCAATTTCACCATCACACAGATCTTCCCAAATTCTTTAGCATGTGGATTTATGAAAAGGGCACATTGTCCGCTTATGATGCAAGGATAATCTGCAAGAAAAGTTTACTGAGCTGTTGTTTCATGCTGCAGAATAGATTATTCATCTATCCTGCAAATAACCTTTATTTTAAACAGGTAATGAAGTTTTAAAAATAACACTAATTTCTATTTAGTATATATATACAAGTGAAGAAAACACGTTATAAAAAACGTTATAAAGGAGTTTTCAATGTCATTAAAACGAAAACAAAAATGTTTGTACATATATTACCTGATATATTTTAATTTTAATGATTGTAAAATTTGCTTTAGTATACCTGTTAAGTGGAAGACAGACTTAAAGCCAAGGCCAAAGCGGCCAATCTTAAGGGGATCGTCTCTTTTGACACTTGTATAAATCGAGCGAATTCCTCTCCAATCATCTTTGGTAAAAGTTTTGTTGTTGTAAAAAACCAAAGCAGGTGCCTGGTTGTAAAAATGTATAAAAAAACAAATTCAATAAACGCTAAACGCATGATAACCAAAAGTTTTAATTTCGCTTTTATTTCTTACATTGTATAGTAAACTCCTTTTTAGGACTAGTGCATCGTTTACTTTAAATAAACCTCTCACAACCGTGTCAGGGAATTGATCTAGGAAGTTGACTTTTATTTGCTTGCAAAGTGTTGGTACGAAGGTTTATAATTATGTTCTTCTTTTGCAGTAGCATCTTTACGTTAATAATTTGAAATGTCCATGGAATTAGAGTTTATCCATGAACCAAGTTACTTGGTAAAACTAAGGTGGTTCTGAATAATCAACCGTAATGGTTTATGATGTTAGCTGAAAATATACATACGACTTGTTTAAATATTTGCTAATGGTTTCATTCAGACACTTGTGTATGCATGTACTTACTCTGAGGAATCGACAATATTCTGACTCATCTTCACGCTCTGGGTTAATTATTCTTCCTTCATACAGTATGCGCATTTCTGTTGCATTTGCATCGTCGGCATTTTGAATAAGCTCCTAACAATTTGATAAATTAATATAAAGCATTTGAACTACTTAATTTTAGGTGATTATAGGTAAATGTGAGAGGCAAATATTAAAGGTTGGGCTATTGAACCATTAAGCATATATCTCTGTAAATTGACTTTATCCAATCTGAATGTTTTTTAAATTAGTAAGATTCTAAAATCATATGTAAATAATTATCCACAATCTAGACACAAATTTAGTTTTATTCCTAATGGAATTCATACTATTTTCGATGTTTGGAGTCCATTTTATGTCCACCAAGTATTGATTTTGTATCAGGAATCATGCTTAAACCGTCATTTTGAATGTTCATGTAATTCATTTCATAGGCAAAGGTTTAAATTTTTCGCCGAGAGGTGAAATTTGAACTTTAGAAATAACTGATACTGTTATCATAAATAGGTTATTAAAATAGGCCGTTTTGCAGTGGTTGTACAGACTGTAATTTTGTCAATAGTATAGATCTAATAAGCATAATTATCTTCATTCAATCTAATTACTTTATACCAAAACATTTACCTTAATGATTTGTACATCATTTCTGTACTCATCAAGGATGCGTTTGATCTGCTCCAGCAGAGGCGGTTGCTCGATTCCTGAGAACTCCTCAATATTTTCTGTGTCGGAATCTACAATTTAAAAATCTTTATGTATCAACTAATTGTTACAAATGTGTTGCATATTCCAAACGAGAGGAAACTGAGTATGTTCATCAATCAAAATACATGATATTAATTTGTTGTCTACAATACAAACTAATGAAGCTACAAGACTGATGGAAATCCCTATAACATCTATTCCACAGTATTTTATGTTCATCAATTTATAATCATTTCGAATGTCAACATATAAGCTTCGTTTAGAAAAGCCCTCCGAAAAGTATTGAAGTTTATGTGCAAACATAAATTATTAGATATGGGACGTTTGTGACTGACCGTGACCTTGAAGCACAACAGGATGTAAATGTTGAACACAAGTTTGAAATAAATGCTTAAAAAAGTCAGTGAAATATTAATAAGACAGACACACAATTAACTGGAGTATAAACTTGACCTTGAGCAAGCCGATGCCAGCATGAATTCTGCACATTTCCTTGGTGGGATATACATTTGAGCCAAGGTTGAAGTTTGTTTTGTGAATTTTAAAAGGCGTTAGGGAGGCTGCATCTTACATTGTCTATCATAAACGGACTCGATCTGCAATTCCAACTCTTTTTTTGAAATTTCCCTTTGAATTCAGTGCTCCTAAGGGATATCCCTTTTCTCATTTTTTTAATAATTCATATGTAAACCTGCCTCTTTCGTTTTTACTTTCGTTTAAACATTTTCTATTTGAAATTTAACTTTATATTGTATGTAAGTACTTACTTTTATAAAATGAACTTAAAATATTTTATCTTTAACTTTTGTTTATTTTGTAACTAAATAGAGCTGCACGAATTGATACGTTTAATATTTTTTACAACCACGTGTATTATCCGAAAATCAAACTTGTTTTAAATGGTTTTATTTGGTGTGAACCTAGATACACGCATTTGTATTCCTTTTAAATACATGTCTTTCATATTTACGTAGTTTAAAACTGTCATTGAAATTTGAAAATAGGTTTACTGTATTATCATTTAAATCTCTGTCCCTAACGTAGTGACTATCATGTACCAATGTTTTCAATATTTTTGCGGTATGTGTTTATTGCAGAAATAACAATATCATAAATATGAAGTACAATTGTTTATCAAATGATGATGCATGTAGGATAATATTTTCAAAACATGCTGTATGAATGTTCATTAGGTCTGCAAATATCACAAAATTTACAAAATATGTTTTCAACCGAAATCAAGTACAAGTACTGTTACAGTACATGCAAGATTTTTTATTGTTATAGCAGAATAATATGGGACACTCCGTAAAGAATTTTCCTTTCTAAACATTTGTTTATTATATGTTTTTCAAAAACGAAGTTGTAAGCTCTTGCTTTTTAGTACTAAACTTTATTGGACAATTCTGGGTGCTCAGAATATAGTTTGGTGAGCCTGTTCTAACTATAAATTTTCTTAAAATCATTAGACCAGATAATTTATGCTATCCTTGCATAGTTTTGCGAATATTTGTTCGAAATGCTGATACATAATTTCAACTTACATCATCAATATTTTTCAAATAAACAATATGACAATCATTTGTTATTTTGTTTTTGTAATTTTGTCAAGATTATTATAAATGCTGCTTAGTTTTAGATGACCTTTGAAACATTGTCAAGTATGCATCTAATACAAGTACCTTAAATACAGATTTGATTTGAAAGCTGGTTTGGAGGTTAACACTACATATTTACTACATTTTTTTAATCAACTTGTATTATTTTGAAAAAACTGTCGATTTTATAAGTTTTTGTAAAGTTGTGGACTACTATAGAGGACTTGTGATTTGATTGTCAAAACCTTAACTTGTGAAAGATGTAAACTACCCAGCCAGGAGTTTACAACACAAGCTACAACGAATGGATCCTATGCCAATAATCTTTAATGTTAATGATAACGGTTAAATACCTTTCCGCGTATTAGAATACTGCTTACCTTACCTTTTGATTTTTTTAAACTGACTTTGTGAATACTAACATATCCTGCGTAAAATATGTAAGAATAGTTACAGCGGTAGTAAATCACTCATTGAGTTTGCAAAGCCAGTGGCAACACTTATAAACAAAATGTTTAACTTGTGGCAGCGATTAGATACCTAGTCAAGCTAATTAGACTTGCCAAAAAGACATTGAGACATTGTTTGAACGGGGGATGTCATTTTTCAAGTCCAACCACTTATTGCTTTTTTTTCTACCTTATACACGGACACTGACCAACAAGAAGTTGTTGCGTACGTACGTTTATTCGAAACCCTTGCCCTGTCCATAACTGTCATGCATCCAGGAATTTTGAAACCTTTTAGCACAAATGTTTAGCATGGTGAGACGGTATGTCATGTGGAAGACCAAGGCCCCTAACTCTTAGGTCAATGTCACACTTGGAGGTCAAAGTTCTTGTCCGGCCCATAAATTTATCATGCATAAAAAATAACATGGAACAAATCTGCAGGATAAATTGCTCCAAAGTGAAGGTTGTACTTAGAAACTTGTAAAAACAAATTGAACTTTTATCCATCCAGCTTTTTAATCCCCTATTACAGATTAATGTGGGAAATATGTGCTCTTGTCCTAAATTTAAGGTACATATGTTTTCCTATCATAACATCCTTATACATTATATTCGGTGTCTTAACATACCTAGCGGGGATACCCGTGTCTTTCAGTTACTAAATTTTGATCTCATACATGCTCATTTATGATCTGCTAGCTAATTGTTCGAAAGTTTATTATTTAGTACAATGTTGTTTGGATGCAAAAATGTTATGCAATCAATAACTTTTAATATTCTTTTTGACGTGTTCAGTTAAAGATTAATTCTTTAATTCAAGTAAAGTCTGTATTCCGAAGGATCACTCTTATTCCAGAAAGCAGTGTCAAGTGCCGTGTGGCAGCTGTAAAAATTGTCCCGTACTTTACTGCAGTTTTGTTATATTTTTTAGGTCCTTTCGGGATCATTGGTTGCATCACAATTAGTGTTTAAAATTGTGTACCGCTCAAGCCAGTGCTAGGGGTGTGAGGGATGTTGCACATTTTTATTAGCCCTCTTGTACAGACTCAATTATATCGATTCTGCAATTCTTATGTAATTTTGTTGTTTTTAATGCTTCCAAGGGATCGCTCGTCTTTTAGATTTTTATACTTCACAACAGCAGATGTGTAGTGCCTAGTAGTAGCTGTAAAATACGAAAGTCCAGTTTGGGCCATTTAAACTTCATGAATTCCCGATTTCATCTTCATGAATTCACACTTTAAACTTTGTGAAATCCCGTTTTCAAAATACGGAATTCACGAATTCATGATTCAGCTTCATGATTTCACAACTTCAACTTCACGAATTCACGATTTCAACTTCAGGAATTCACGATTTCAACTTCATGAATTCACGATTTCAACTTCACGAATTCAACTTCGTGAATTCACGATTTCAAATTCACGAATTCATGATTTCAACTTCATGAATTTACGATTTCAACTTCATGAATTCACGATTTCAACTTCACGAATTCAACTTCGTGAATTCACGATTTCAACTTCACGAATTCACGATTTCAACTTCATGAATTTACGATTTCAACTTCATGAATTCACGATTTCATGAAGTTGTAATCGTGAATTCGTAAAGTTGAATTCGTGAATTCACGATTTCAACTTCACGAATTCAACTTCGTGAATTAAAGATTTCAACTTCGTGAATTCACGAATTCAATTTTACGAATTCACGATTACAATTTCCTGAATTCACGATTTCAACTTCATGAAGTTGAAATCCTGAATTCGTGAAGTTGAAATCGTGAATTCATGAAGTTGTAATTGTGAATTCTTGAAGTTGAAATCGAGAATTCATGAGGCTGAAATCGGGAATTCGTGAAGTTGAAATGCCCCCACCGGTCTTTCGTAGTAAAATGTTGCATTGTACTTCACTTCAGTGTTGTTATTTTTTCTGGTCCTTCTGGATTATTGATTGCAGCACATTAAGTGTCGAAAATTGAGTACCGCTCAAGCCAGTGCTTTGGGACGTGAGGGTTGTTGCACTTTTTTACTATCCCTCATGTACAGACTTAATCAAAGAGGGTCTGCATGTTATTTTAATGCTCCCGAGTGAACACTCTTCTTCCAGATATTTATACATGTTCCTTATGTTATGAATAAAGACGAGTTGTAACCCTTTTCCCAGTGTTGAGGTAGAATACCGCTTAATTAAATGGACTACACTGGGGTTTTTAAATAAAAGTTGCATTTTGATTTTTCGCATTGTTACATTTTCGTAGTTGTAATGTCTGATCACAATGATATATTATTAAATAGATAGTCATATACAAGATATGTTTGATTCACATAAAGTTAAAATTTTAAATAACCCGATCCTTACATATGTAAAATAATTAAATAATATAACGGCAGGGCTTTCAGACTGTTCATAATAAAAACATTAATGTGTTCCTTCCATCTTCAGATTCTCACTTTCCGTTTTTATTTGTTTGGGTCTTCAGACCAAACAAATAATGGTAGCGGAATTTCAGACTTTAATGCTGTTAATTGCAAATGCCGAAAGTAGTCCGCTTTTTTGAAGCGGTTACTTCCCTTTATATGTACACTAACGCCGAAAAATTCAGGGGAGATCACTGCGTAAAGATGGTCAAATGACAGGCGCATTAATTTTCAAGCAAAATAATTCCCGAATGGTCGAAGATTCATAATATTATTTTATTCTTTATAGTAAGCTCCATGATTATTTACATCTGTGTTAAACAACAGTTAGCGTCGTTACAAACCCTAAATTAGAATAATATGGTTTTCTTCAGGCATTTAATATATAAATAAACCGTGGCCGAGGGGTTGCGCGCTCGCTTAGGAAGCGAGAGGTCTGGAGTTCTAATCCCAGTTGTTTAAATCAAATAAACATTGGATTGAATATCAGTGTTGCAATTAGTCTTATAGCCAATTTACTACAATTAAAACGCTGGAAAGCATTGGTGGCACTATACAAAAACAAATTGGTTTATAATCTCACAGCCTGCACCTTTCTTACATTCTGAGACCCAAACAAATTCAGCACCTTCTGTGCTTTGATTTAATATTTTACCGCTGACGGGTGTGACATGAGAATTAACGATAAAGGCACTGCCCGCACACATCTTAAAATAGATATTTACTCTGAGAATGTGGTGTATTTTCACTGGAAAACATTAAATATAATGTCTGTTAATTCTAGTATAAGAGTTTGTAAGACATACTTTATTTGATTACGTAGAGTGCATGTTGGATTAAGTTTGAAAATAAAAGAAAACACCACACATATGAAAAAATTGTTCACCCTAGTTCCCGGTCATTCAGCCTTTTTCAGTCGTTTTATTGCATTTTAAAATTTATATAATAATATTTAAAATTATTTTTATTCATTACCACATTATGTCATCTTGTCATGATCAGGCGTTTCCAGATCTTTAAAACAAAGCTCTCTTGACGGTCATTCTGTCTGCCATCTTCCCCATATTGCAAGGAAATCAATTCTAATTCATACCCTTTTTTCGAAAAGTATTACATTATTGTATTAAGATCATATTGTATTATACTGTGCCTCTCTTAGTTCACGGTACTTAACGCTTTGAAACAAGAAGGGAAACAAAAAACTAATGTTACAAAAATGTCATTAGCTGTAACCTTTAGGTATTTTCAGATTGATGTATCCATTTGCAACAATGCGAAAATGTAACAATGCCAAAAATCGCAAATGTGACAGGAGGAATGCGAATAAACGACAGATTTTATGTGTCGTATTTTCGCCCTCTTCTGTCGTATTTTCGCTTCAAAGCCTCAAAAATCCGAAAAAGCGGAAGCACATTTGTCGTCCCTTCGTGCTTTAATTACCGATTATTTCACGTTTGCTTTCATTTCTAATTTGAAAATACAGTTTTATTTTTATTTTGGATGTTTGTTTCTATTTCCCAAAAAGTTCGACATTCGCCAATAACATTATTAATATTTTCTTCAAGAGCTATGTATCTAAAATTCACTGAAAGTTATAAAAATCATATTTGCCACGTTTGTGAAGATATAATATTACACAAAAGAGAGTATCTACTTTTTTTATCAGAAAGGTCAAGAGATTTTGTGAAAATAACACTTGGATGTTTGCCTGTACTTAATAGAAGAGGTCTACTATTTTTCGAAAATCTTGAAATATCTATAGTCTATATATTTTGTGATCAACAATACATTCGTTATCTCTATATAAACCTGTCAGCCCAACACGTTTACCGTATTTTATGTAAATAATGACCCTAACAACAACGTGCCGTGTCGTATTAATGCAAATAGGAACACAATCAATTTGAGTGAAGAAAAAAGAAAAAAAAAGGAGAGAATCAACCATGGCGATAGTTCGATTTAAACATTTTTTTATTTATTGAAAGGTGGGTCGCAATTCAACATATAATCATCATATGCTGTAATAAATACGAAAACAACGCAACAACTGAGTTGCTATAATGTTAGGCGACGCAAGATAAGCAACGCACAGAATGCGCTGAATTTGTTTGGGTCTCAGAATGTCGGAAATGTGAAGGTTGTGAGATTATAAACCAATTTGTTTGTAAAGTGTCACCAAATTCTGTTTCCAGTGTTATAAATATAGTTAATTGGCTATAAGGCTAATTGCAACACTGATATTCAATTTAATGTTTATTTGGCTTAATCAATTTAAAAAAAAGACAAACAAAAAAGAAAAGAAAACATAAGTTGTCTGAACTGGGATTTGAACTCCAAACCTTTCGCCTCTAAGGCGAGCGTGTAAACCACTCGACCACGGGGAATTATAAGATAACAGCCTAAAGAATACCATATTATTCTTAATTAGAGTTTGTAACTTATTAATTTCGATATATTTTGTTCACGGTAAACCTGTTGTTTACCACTGAAGTAAATAATCATGGAGCTGAATATAAGCATAATAACACAATATTAGAAATCTTCGACCAATCGGGAACTATTTTTTCGTTACGAAAATAAATGCGCCTGTCATTTGACAATCTTTACGAAGTGTTCTCCCCTTAATTCCTCGGCGTGAATGTACATATGAAGGGAAGTAACTGCTTCGAGGAGTTTGGACTACTATAAGAACATCAGGGTCTGAAATTTCGCTACCATTATTTGTTTGGTCTGACGACCCAAACAATTAAAAACGACGCAACACAAAAAATGATTACTTTTAAATGAAGAGAATGTAGATTAAAGTAACGCATCAATTGTGTTGCTGTTATTTCAAAATTTTAATATGTTGGTCTAGTCACACTTGATGGTCAAATTTCATAGCTGTACATAAAAGAACAAGAAAGAAGATCACATCATCATAATCTATTATAATAGTCTTGCTAAATTAAAAGTGTGTTAACACTTTTAACTATAATCGGGCTTATAAAATTATAGAAATACAAATTTCGATCACTCCGTGGAGATACTTAATAATCAAAGGACATGAACATAGGTCACTTTATCAAATTTTCTGGGCCAGCTGATATCAAAGTTCAATTTTACATACATGGTCCAAATATAATAGCCAAGATAGAAGGTAACATCATCATAATCTAGGTAGCTGAAACTGTGCACATGTTCCAAATTCATTGCTGTACGACAAGGTAAAGAAAGTAGGTCACTTCCTCAAACTATATAACTCAGCTTATATCAAAGTTCAAAATTTCCGTAATTGACCTTGAAGGAAAAATCCTGCTAAAAATGACTCAAATTTATAACGCGTGTGAACACTTTTAACTAAAATTGGGCTAATAAAATAATAGAAATGCGATTTTGGATAACTCAGTGGAAAAATTAAAATGTTTTAAGAGATTGATCATAATTTTATTTATGTCAGTACAATTTCTATAAAATATTTGATTATTTGTCCTATTGACTTATGGCCAGTGATCAAAAATGGACAGGTAAAGAGGATGAAGGTTACTAGCGCCATACTTTTATAGATAGGCATCATTAATGCATAAAATCTAATCAAGATTTTACAAAGGGCATTATGCTGCAGCAGGAGCTAGTATTTTATAAAAAAAACTGTCGCTATTTCAATAGGAAGAATACTGATTGCCGGGATTCGTATTTCTAAAGGGCTCACTTTATTTCTGTTCTCTGAACTTGAACCAAAAATGGCGCGAAAGGTGAATGGAAGTAAGTTACGATTAACTGCCGGCAACGAAGCTTTCCGGTCTAATTTCGTTGCAGTCTGTTATTCCTTGCAGACAAATAAGATAATAATGGGTTAGTACATATTCAAACAGAGCGTTTCAAAATGCTTATTTGATCGGTATTATTTATTTTGTTGGCAATGACTTCATGCAAGTTGTAAAGTAATTATAACTGGGCCATTGCGTAAGAGATATTGTATATGTTTATTAATATTATATTATACCGAACACAATCGCAAGTGTAAAATACAAGGCGTTTTTACATTCTCCTTTTATCAACTTTTTCATTCACCAACAAAAGGAGAAACTTCGATTTAACATTGTAAGAACAGATATCTACATGTTAAACCTGATCTTCGACTTTAATAAATAATATCATGTGACTTGACATGCAAGTTTTTTCTTATTCGGGTTTATCATTATTTGCAAATACACTTGAAAGCATTGTAAGATAACGATTATCTGAATGCTACACTGTTTGTCTATACACGAATAACCAAATTTCGCTAGGTAGAAAGTACACCTTTAATGGGCGTATAACTCGCAAAGTTTTAAATGAAAACGTATATATACAAGCAGATCTAAAATATGGATATGAATTTAAGATTAAAGTGCTTATCAGACTTTTGCAATATCAACAGAAATAGCAATGTTTGTACGCCTGTGTATATACTATCCGGTATTCATTTATAAAGCCCGTCTATTTAATTACCCCGTCTAATTATTCTATTCTACAAAATATCTCTATTTATTAAGCCCATCTATTCATTAAGCACATATATCTATTAAATCTCTCGATTTATTAAGCCCGTCTATTCATTAAGACGCTCTTCCTTTTAAATCTATTTATTTATTAAGCCAATCTATTCATGTATTTGCAAATTTAGGTAGACAAAAAGGTTCAGACGTGGATATGGGGGGAGCATGTCCTGAAATGTATGGAAAATCAGAGCACCTTAAAGCCTGTTCTGCATTGTGGTATTAAGGTGGGGAATTATATTTCATTAATGAATAATAATGGAAATTCCTCCATTTAAAAGAAAAACTACTTTAAATTTATACTCATTATCTGAGTAATTTTGGATTTGAACTTTTCACTACAACTTTAAGGCTCCCGAAAAAATTCTCAACACCCTTTTTCTTAATTTAACTACTTTGTTTACATTTGGCCTTAATTGTCAGGGGATAAACGGGAAATCTGTCACCTGTCATAATGGGAGGTCTGCACAACAAGAATTACATGATGGAGCATGCCCTTTCCTGTAAATCTAGTATAAACGTTTATGAGTTCAAGAAATAGTAGCCGTCACACAGACACACAGTAAGATTTGCTTGTTTATCTAAGTGTTAATTGGTGTTGTTTTTCTAATATGAGTTAACGGCCCCGGCCGCCAGCTCTTATTCGGTCACGTGACACTCATAATCATTTGAAATTATAGGCAATTTTTGTCACTATATATAGTAACTAGTATATAAAATTGGAATAGATTTAAAGCACTTGACCCTCGTTATATGTTTTGCTGGGGTAAAAAAAAACTTTTTATGACTATGATCAACAAAATGTAATTGCGCATAACCTTAGGTAATTACCAGCAGCACAAACAACAGCAATTGTATAATAAACTAACACATAAAAATAAAACCATATTAATACTCGTAACATAAAAGGAAAGGACAGCAAAAGTATCAAAACTAAGATATATGATAAACTACTTACCCATCGTCGTCTCCGCTCCAAAGCTTCTGTATCTCACATCTCAGACAGACGACTTGAAATTAAATATAACATTCATGTCACACACGTTATCATCGCGTGATAATTGAGCTTCTAACAAAAAGTACTGAACGTCGAGTGTAATCTTTTACAGTTACGGAAAAAAGACTCAATTTTCCGAAAATCGTTTTCTGATATCAGCACAAGTCCTTTTTTAAAACATTTAAAATGTCATGATCAATAGTTATGTAAATTGTATATCTATCGGTTTGTAATTTTTTTGCAGATAGATCTATCAATATCTGCTCAAATATATCGATCAAAGTTATACAGTGTATATACTGTGGCCTTGCATTTTAATGGGTATCTAATTTTCTTTTTTTTTATTTTGTAAAATTATTTAACCTTTTCCCCCATAAAGACGTTTTTGACGATTTTTTGTCCCCCCTCCTTTATTTGAGGCCTCAAATAGTGAAAAATGCCCTATTTAGGCCCAAAACTATGTTTTTCGTTTAAGAAATGTTGCTTAAAAACGTGACCACTTTTTCGGCGCCGTCCCCCATCAAAATGTTACATCAGGGTGTTGCCAGAAGGGGGATGTGCCCCCTTCTGTTTCGGAGGTTTGAAGGGGGACGGAAGCCAAGAAACTTTTGGACATGTGACAGGCTAAAATGCCCTCAGGTCGAAATTAGGGTAACTAGTAACCGACGCTGAAAAGTCTTTCACTCTGTCTCAATTCATTTAGAAGTTGCAGCACTTTGAAATCAGTTTTGATGAAAAATAAAACAATGCCAAATAGTGATATTTGGCAATCTTGAGACGTCTCCCCGTTGCCATGGTAACAGGAAATTTACGATTGAGCATGCTGTTACAAAGGCTATGGTCTAGTCATTATTTGTGCCAAGTTTCATCAGTATTGAAGTATTTTTCAAAGTTTTATAGCATTTTGAACTTGTTACAGGAGGCTTTTCAATGAAAACGGCCATTTTTCGCAATGTGCTCATGGGGTAAAAGGTTAAATAAATGATTTAATACAATACCTCGCTTATTCACATAGTCGCTTACAAAATTTGACTGAGAAAGCAAAAAAGAAAAATTAAAAATAATTCTATTAATTAATTAATGAAACTGCACAAATATATCAGTGATTCGGTAAAACTCCAATTACTGCAAATAAAAGGTGAAGTATATTCTAAAGTTAATTACATGTATTAGATTGATTGCGAAATTATGTTTGACTAACTGTAAATCTATGAACAACAAGTACCACTTACGTCCAGTAATAAATTCCAAAATTTAAGATATATTCATGTCAGTGCAATTTCCGTAAATGTAAAGATCTAGTTATGTTATATAAACTCAATATAGTATTTTCCGAAAATAAACTTAACGCGTACTTTTATCTGTAAGTAGAGGTTAGTGTTCATTATAACGAAACGTGCATATGTTTAAAACTTGCGGCGGAAAATATCTCTTTTTAAATAACATCTCTTTTTCTCTTACGGTTAGATACAATTATATTTCAAAATTGAGGTATACAAACTTAATGCATACCATATTTTCCATTTTCTACATAGTATAAACAAATATGTAATAACATAAAGTTAATAGTAAAACCTTTTGTAAATAAAAAAGTACACCTATAAGGGCATTTCCCAAGATCAGAGAAAATAATCATTATGAGCAATAAAATACAAGACAGTGTTCAAGTTTAGACTGTTCGTGTATAAGTAATAGAAGGAATGGTCTCGTAGAATCAGAAAAAAACTTTGATGTATTAACTTTAACCTACGAAGGCACATTATGCCTCAGATTATTGCCATATTTTTAAAAATTGTTAGAAATGTGAAACGTGTTTCATAATAATAATAAATTACCTAGCCAATGTGTCATAAAAATGCTGTTTTCTTTAGTGCATACATATTTACAATAACTTAGTTTTGCCAAAATATTTAAAAAGAATTGAATGGACCTTTCCAGTGTTTACAGTTTTATGTGCTTAATAATAATAGTATAATAATAATAATAATAATAATAATAGTAATAATGATGGTGATGATGATGGTGAAGATAATTTACAAATGCATTAAGAGCATGTCAAGGGCACAAAATGGGCGCAATTTAATGAAACACTTGCCATTTGTTACAAGCGTAACACTAAGTAACACCTACGTAACGCATGTAAATTCAGTAGCATTTGTAACAAGTTTGTTTCTTAAACTTCTTATCTGTGAAATTTTCATTTCACTCAAAACTCTTGTAACATTTGTAACAATGCTGTAACAACTATGTAACAACCTAGTAACATCTATGTAACCATATTAACTCCGTTTTCTGGTCATTTTAGTGTTTTTGCTGTAACACTTGTAACAACCTGTAACATTTGTAACAATTATCTGTGAAATTTTCATTTCATTCTCAACCTTCGTAACATTTGTAACAATGTTGTAACAACTATGTAACAACCTTGTAACATCTATGTAACCTTATTTATTCCGATTTCTGACCAATTTGAAGGCTTGTGCTGTAACACTTGTAACAACCTGTAACATTTGTAACAATTATCTGTGAAATTTTCATTTCAATCTCAACTCTCGTAACACTTGTAACAATGCTGTAACAACTATGTAACAACCTTGTAACATCTATGTAACCTTATTAATTCCGTTTTTCGACCATTTTTAAGGCTTGTGCTGTAACACTTGTAACAACCTGTAACATTTGTAACAATTATGTGTGAAATTTTCATTTCATTCTCAACTCTCGTAACATTTGTAACAATGCTGTAACAATGCTGTAACATCCTTGTAACATCTATGTAACCTTATTTATTCCGATTTCTGACCATTTTTAAGGCTTGTGCTGTAACACTTGTAACAACCTGTAACATTTGTAACAATTATCTGTGAAATTTTCATTTCATTCTCAATTCTCGAAACATTTGTAACAATGCTGTAACAATGCAGTAACAACCTTGTAACATCTATGTAACCTTATTTATTCCGATTTCTGACCATTTTTAAGGCTTGTGCTGTAACACTTGTAACAACCTGTAACATTTGTAACAATTATCTGTGAAATTTTCATTTCATTCTCAACTCTCGTAACACTTGTAACAATGCTGTAACAACTATGTAACAACCTTGTAACATCTATGTAACCTTATTAATTCCGATTTCTGGCCATTTTCAAGGCTTCTGCTGTAACACTTGTAACAACCTGTAACATTTGTAACAATTATCTGTGAAATTTTCATTTCATTCTCAACCTTGGTAACATTTGTAATAATGCTGTACCTATGCTGTAACAACCTTGTAACATCTATGTAACTTTATTAATTCCGTTTTCTGACCATTTTTAAGGCTTGTGCTGTAACACTTGTAACAATCTGTAACCTTTGTAACAATAACCTGTGATTTTTTCATTTCAATCCAAACTTTCGTAACACTTGTAACAATGCTGTAACAACTATGTAACAACCTTGTAACATCTATGTTACCTTATTAATTCCGATTTCTGGCCATTTTCAAGGCTTGTTCTGTAACACTTGTAACAACCTGTAACAATTGTAACAAAAATGTGTGAAATTTTCATTTCATTCTCAACCTTCGTAACATTTGTAACAATGCTGTAACAACTTTGTAACAACTTTGTAACATCTATGTAACCTTATTAATTCCGATTTCTGACCAATTTGAAGGCTTGTGCTGTAACACTTGTAACAACCTGTAACTTTTGTAACAATTATCAGTGAAATTTTCATTTCACTCCAAACTCTCGTAACACTCGTAACAATGCTGTAACAACTATGTAACATCCTTGTAACATCTATGTAACCTTAATAATTCCGTTTTCTGACCATTATTAAGGCTTGTGCTGTAACACTTGTAACAACCTGTAACATTTGTAACAATTATCTGTGAAATTTTCATTTCATTCTCAACCTTTGTAACATTTGTAACAATGCTGTAACAACTATGTAACAACCTTGTAACATCTATGTAACCTTATTAATTCCGATTTCTGACCATTTTCAAGGCTTGTTCTGTAACACTTGTAACAACCTGTAACATTTGTAACAATTATCTGTGAAATTTTCATTTCACTCCAAACTCTCGTAACATTTGTAACAATGCTGTAACAATGCTGTAACAACCTTGTAACATCTATGTAACCTTATTTATTCCGATTTCTGACCATTTTTAAGGCTTGTGCTGTAACACTTGTAACAACCTGTAACATTTGTAACAATTACCTGTGATTTTTTCATTTCACTCCAAACTCCCGTAACACTTGTAACAATGCTGTAACAACTATGTAACAACCTTGTAACATCTATGTAACCTTATTAATTCCGTTTTCTGACCATTTTTAAGGCTTGTGCTGTAACACTTGTAACAACCTGTAACATTTGTAACAATTATCTGTGAAATTTTCATTTCATTCTCAACCTTCGTAACATTTGTAACAATGCTGTAACAACTATGTAACAACCTTGTAACATCTATGTAACCTTATTAATTCCGTTTTCTGACCATTTTTAAGGCTTGTGCTGTAACACTTGTAACAACCTGTAACATTTGTAACAATTATGTGTGAAATTTTCATTTCATTCTCAACTCTCGTAACATTTGTAACAATGCTGTAACAATGCTGTAACATCCTTGTAACATCCTTGTAACATCTATGTAACCTTATTAATTCCGTTTTTTGGCCATTTTCAAGGCTTGTTCTGTAACACTTGTAACAACCTGTAACATTTGTAACAATTATCTGTGAAATTTTCATTTCATTCTCAACCTTCGTAACATTTGTAACAATGCTGTAACAACTATGTAACAACCTTGTAACATCTATGTAACCTTATTAATTCCGTTTTTCGACCATTTTTAAGGCTTGTGCTGTAACACTTGTAACAACCTGTAACATTTGTAACAATTATGTGTGAAATTTTCATTTCATTCTCAACTCTCGTAACATTTGTAACAATGCTGTAACAATGCTGTAACATCCTTGTAACATCTATGTAACCTTATTAATTCCGTTTTTTGGCCATTTTCAAGGCTTGTTCTGTAACACTTGTAACAACCTGTAACATTTGTAACAATTATCTGTGAAATTTTCATTTCATTCTCAACTCTCGTAACATTTGTAACAATGCTGTAACAATGCTGTAACATCCTTGTAACATCTATGTAACCTTATTAATTCCGTTTTTCGACCATTTTCAAGGCTTGTGCTGTACTATAGCACTGTCATAATCTTACTATAGCACTGTCATAATCTTACTATACCACAGTCATTATCTTACTATAGCACTATCATAATCTTACTATAGCACTATCATAATCTTAGTTTAACCTGTCA